TCAATATAGAAAAAATTCTACATTGTACCAATTTTTTTTTTACCACAAAGTACGAGTTATATTGAAATTCCTATTAAAATGTCAAGAATTTCTATTTGGTCTAACAATTTCATAGAGCACCTGCCTAATAAAATATACGTACAAAATTCAAAATTAAAATATCTGTAAAGGACTCTAAAAAAAAAAATAGATTACATTTTTTGAAAATTTTACCACTCACCACTTTTAGAAAAGGCAAATATAAGTTTTGTGTTTAAATTTCAAGTTCATAAAGTCTACGAATATTTTTAGCTGAGTTACAATAAAAAACAAAATTGAAAATAATAAGTGTAATTCTCGTAATTGTTCCCGTTTTTGTTGTGTTTTATTCCAGATTTTACTTGGTATTAAGAAAACCGCTAGGAAAATCAAAAAATTACAACCCTAAAGTAGCACCCCAGTCAGATTTCCTTCAGAAAAGTGCTATAATTGAAAATATATTTGAAAATCAAAGAAAAATCACTGTAAAAAAAATTGGCCATAGAAAAAAAAAAAATTTAATTAACATCATTATAGAACCAATTACCAATACATTCTTTACTCCGTTCAGAATCTAAAATAAACATCATTGTAAAACCTTCGCGAGTGTGTATTGGAGTGTATAAAAAAGAGTTTAGTAAAAATAATCATAAAAGGTTCCCATTGGCAATAATATTTTCTAATAGAACCATTGGTGATAATTGATATAGAGTTAACGGACGATTAGAAGAAATATTTTGCCTAATAGTACGGACAATGCGGAAACCGACTATATTGGTTGCCTACCGGTAGCCTTACGTCAGGAAATATTTTGACCTTCCAAGGAACTTTATATTTTGGTTTTTAAATCAATAATCCTTACTACTTTCGGCTTTCACCATCCTCTATCTCTCTCAACACATAATTTTCTCCTGGTTGACTCAAAAGTGGGTAAATGTAAATTGTTTTGACCAGGGGTAGGCAATAGGTGGCCCGCGGAGAGAAAATAAATGGCCTGCTAACATTTTTTTACTTTATGTTGATTTTTTAGATTCAGAGCGTAGGGAGGGATCTATTGGTTTTAATAAGATGTGTATTATTTCTTTTTTTTCTTTGTATCTGTAAACAACTTTTGTATCAGAAAGCTTGCTCTGAAATATCAAATGTAGCACACTACCACCTTTTCTGGAAGGAAATCACTTAGTAGTTGGTGCATTTAGAAGGTCATTTTTGATTTTCTAAAGGTTTTTCAAAATAATTGGGAAGAACCCTAAAGAAATTTATAAGTAAAACGGTAAATATTTACGGCACACCGCGGCGTTACCGAATTCATTAGTTTCAATTTATATACACAATGTTTTCCACATATTGCGTCAATAGGAAATCGAAAGGAAACCATTTTTTATTACATTTTTTATTTAGTTGGTTAGTAAGAAAGTTGTTCTTTTGATTTTCTTAGTAGTTTTTGTGACCAAGAAAGTTGTGTTTTGATTTATTTATAGTTTATTTAATAATTGAGCAAAACCGAAAAATACGCATTAAGAACAGGAAAATGTACAAAAATAATTTTTGTTATTATTTTAAATTTTGTTTTTTTAATTTAATGTAATTCAGTTATAAATATTCGTAGAACTTGAAATTTCGACAGCAAACTCATATTTTGATTTTTTTAGACGATAGTCATTTTCTCATTTTGACACTTTATATGTTCTGAAAATTTAATTTTGTCACCCCCCTCCAAAAAAAAAAAAAATCAGCACTTTTTTTCATTATTTGTCTCTTACTAAATTTAGTATATTTAATGTGATTGTTTAACAGGAGGTTCATTAAGAGTTTTACTTTGTAGTCAAAAAATTGAATTTAATGTAGTATTTGTTTTTTTATAAGGGAATTTTAGTATCAAATTTTAACTAAAAAATTATGTGAACATATCTAATTTTTCAATTTTTTTTTTTTAACATTTGTTTATTCCTAATTTAAGAACGAGAAGTCAGAATAAAGCGGACTGACTAAGTTTGGAAATTATAGCTTTTTGAAGTTCTAATATTATGCGGATATTATATTTCATGTTAAATATCTCTATATTATCCTTCTCGAAACATTGTTCGTGATCTAATGGTTATTAATGCCTATTATCATTCTAGGGGTTCCAAGTTCAGACCAGAGTGTCGAAAAAAACTATTGCATTTTGGATGTACCTAGAGACCCAAGCAATTGCTCCCTTGGACTATTTTAATTGCAAAATACCCCTCGATTTATTGTGCAAACTTTTACACGAGAAATCTTGCTCCGATGTATCAAGTCTTATTTTCTGAATCGTAATTTTCATAGGTCATTTTTTGATCTTTTAAGCGGTTTTAATGTCTGGGAAAAACGAAAAATGTACGTAATGTAAGTATTGGTAAAAAAATATTATGGCCTTTTATCTGTGTACAACTTTTCTACCAGCAATTTCGCTAATACAAAAAAAGGGGTGTATTTGTTGGGGGGAAATATAATATGATGATAAAAAATAATAATAATATGATAATAATAAAATAAACGAGATGTTTTACTTTGATACCTATATTAAATCTGGTATTTTATTCATTACCTTCTTCCTGCTGTTCGGAGAACTACGGAGTCGTGAGCCCGAGATTAATGACGATACTGATAAACAGAAATTTTAACTGTTTTACTTGGACACGGTGTTGGAACACTAAGGTTATCAATCATAGGTGTTCTCACGTGATCCTGGAATTATAGGATGGCAGTGACAACTCAATCAAAATAATCTATATTAATTTTAACACTTAGAAACTGCATGCACTCAGATAATAAATGTTAATGTTTAAATTAGGATAGGAAGAAGGTTGAATAATTAAAATAAATTGAACACAAGTGATTATAGCTGCTAAGAGTCGGAGCTAGCTATTTGCTATTTAAGAGAGATATTCCAAAAAAAAGGGTGGTAGTGACTGTATGTGTTTGATACATTGTTCTCGACAGAGTGATTTTCAAAAATCCACTAAAAAAAACCTGCAATTTGTTTAATAATAATCGATGTCGTCTTCACGTCGGAGCCGATATAATATGATTTTCTGACAATCAAATTTTAAAGAAGAAAATTCAGTTTAACGAAATTTGGTGATCTGCAACCACGTCGGTGCGGGGATGATGTCGCCAAACGCGCCGACCGGTGTGTGAATATTCTCACAGTCTTATTAGTCTCTCAAATAACGAAAGCCGTTGTATTTATTATCTCAATTACTTTTTTCACTAGGTACCAAGTACTCGGCCGTATGCAAATTTTTTAGTCACACTTTTATAAATATAAATAATTTTATACATGTTGTGTGAGCATAACATTACAGGTTACTATTTAAACATCAAAAATGAATATCACTTTGTAAAATATTATGTACAAATATACGAGTGCGTATACTATATAGGAGTAGGAGTTGTAACTTTTGAACACATATGTTGATTATGATGATCTAATGTGAATTACGAGTATTTACACTTTTATGTGATCAAGGTACGTGTTTTTAAAATGAAAACATTGAAACTATTTGAATTTTTAAAAAAAATGTTTCATATAATTTGATCACTATTAATATTGGGCAAATGCCAGTTTCTTACAAGGTCAAGTTGCATTCTCTAAGTGAAAGTATCTGGGGGACATACATTTACATCTGTTTATAATATTTAATCTATAATAATATTTTTTACGTTTTATTATTCATATATGACGTTAAATCATTATATACCTACCTTAATTAATGTTAAAAAAGTGACCATACTTTGCAATACGAGTAGGTTATTTATTTAGGTAAACTGTTTGGATAAATGGTGAATTATAGTACTTCATATTATTGGAAGCAATTATACATAATTACAAACAAATAATGATTGGATTTCAAAACATTGAATACGAGTTTCTAATCGAAATTGTTTGTACAACTATTAGTGTACAAGTAAAAATACATTACTATACAAATTAATACAAACGGATTATAAAGTAAAAAGTTTAAAGTATTAAAAGCATTAAAATTTCTGTCGCTTTGATTTAATATTTTTACAACCTCATTATAGTTAATAGGTATACTTTATTTAGTCCTTACCTACTGAATTAATTTGATCAAGATAGCAACAATAATTATTTATGATTTATTGGTAATTTAAAAATTGAAAATAATACATTACAATTTAAAATGAAATACTGATTGGATCTATAAAATGTATACTTTCGTTAAATATTACGCTATAGAGGTCAATAAGAATATTACCTAACTGTGAGAATAAGCCGAAATATTATCACGTGACATTAAATTGATTATATCTTTAATAAACAAATGTTCCAAGTGATTGAAAACAACTAAAGAAACTAGATAATAATTTATGATGTTCTCGTTTGGTATTATCTAACTACGGGTTCGGGGTTAATGCAGGTGTGGTACATACACACCATAACAGCACCGATAGACTATGGGATTTTGATCAGACAAAAAATTAATGTTCGCGACTGTGAACAAAATATACACGTAGATACCTATTTCAATAGCCAAACTCAATTACACTTGCGCTCCTAAAATATGTATAGGCAGAACCTATGGACAGTGGGCTCACGTTTACCTAATAAAGCAAACCTCCTGATCATAGAATGCATTAAAAAAATATTATTAGTAAATAAACATCGAAATTGATAGGCACGGTGTATTTATATTATGATAATTTAATTATAATTTTCATCGTTTTTACATAATATTTAGAAACCAGAGATAAGTAGGTATTTCACATATTTATATTTTACTGTACCAGCACTAATATTTTCCTTAATTCCGTATAAATTTGTCTAACATATCCCATAAATTAAAGTGGTAGAAAACTACATTGTTTGCTTTGTCGATTTTTGTTAGAAATTAAGTACCTACAAACAATATCTGTATAGCTATTAATATTGAACGTTAGCTAAGTGAGAACGATTAAAATTCGAGTTTTTGTTTTGTTTCAGCAACCAAACAATGGCTGTAAAAAGAGTGGTAATTTGTTTAACACTGGGTCACTTCATTGTGCAATTGGTTTTCAGTCACATAACTCATTCGCTCACTTTGCTCGTCGACTCGTACCACGTGCTTTGCAAGCTAATATTCTTATTCGGATCTGTACTGTGTACTGCTGAGGTGACTGTTTAACATATTCATTACTATTCTACTAGCAGTATTGGCAACATACTCTATAAAGCAATTTTAAACTCTCACAATCTTCTTACCTACATTATGAGCTTAATTCATTTGTTTTATTATTCGTAATTCGTATCGTCGACGTGAATTGGAAATCGCTTATCAATAAAAGTCATATAATTGTAACTTGTAAGTGAATTATTATTGTTAAAATGCATGATAAATAAACTATAAATAATTTATTACTATTATGAGCTGAGATAGTAATCTCAGTAATTAAAGGTGAGTAAATCTTTAATGTTCCTGAATGCACCAACGGTGGCATCACAAAATAGATTTAATCTATTCTGTGGTGGCATCACTGATTACAACCATATCTAGTCCACCACTTCTCATTAACCGAGTTGTGAACAAGGTGAGTGATAACACCATCTTAAAGCCGCGTTCACACGAGAGCACGAATGCTAGTGCGTGCTCCGTTTGGACGTTGCCTCGCACAACTTAATATTTGTGCGTCAAATACGCGTTCCGGACTTTTAGTTATTGTTCGGCGAGCATTAATGTATGCTGTTTGACATTTACAAGAAAATTGTACTAATTATGTATAATTTATATATTTTAAAGATCTTAATAAACGTAATGCCATTTTTTTTTAATTTCTTCGGGTCTTTTGTTTAAGCTTTTTGCTAATTCTTCCCGTGCATTTTGTTTTTTAGTTTTGGAGAAATAAAATTCACGTTTTGGGTTCCACAACACTTATTATTTACTTGTTGATATTCTTGTATTAACTAAGTGCAATCTTCGCTGCGCCATTCCAATTTACTTATTTTGTTTGATAAAAAAAAAATTAAGTACCTAGCACGTTACGCGGGTAAACTTTTTCCTACAAACACGTCCAAATGGAGCCGCGCGTCGGACAATTATATCATTGAGCAATTACAATTTACCGACGACAATTGGATCGAGTTCGCCTATACGTCGCGAGCACTCGAGTGCGCTCGGGATTTCGTCCAAACGAAGGAAATTTGTGCGAAGCACAACATGTTCACCTTGTACGTACTTTCGTGTGGACGCGTCTTTAAGCTCATTTTAGCCAATATTTGGCGGTTCGTCTACACCGTGATACAAACAGCACGGTATGATCGCGAAAAATTGCGTTTTGGTACGTGTCTGCGCAATACGTCACGCTTCTACCCATACATTATGTATTATCAATAATAATACTGAAACTAAATACCATATTGTTTATATCGTGGTGTACACCAGTGTTGGGCGTAATCGGTTAATTTATTAAATTACTACCGGGTAACATGCAAAAACAATGCTTACGCAGAATAAGTAAAATTAATAGCTATTAGGTAAGACATTCTTATTTGTCCTAGGTGTTTTTAAATTATGAACTATTAAAAAAGAAAAAAAAATGGATTTTTGTATCTTTTATGACGAGCTGTATATTTTTAATAACACAAAAGCTCTGTGACATCCTTTCCAAAATATTGTTTTCTATACATTTCATAATAGGTACTTTTACTCTAAAATCAAAATTAAGCTAGTTTTACTTATTCTGCGTAAGCATTGTTTTTGTATATTATCCGGTAGTTGGACTGAGACAGTAGATGCGGGTATAACTATATATGCATGCAGTACTGTGTTCACTATCATTGGCGCTCTAGGGCAATAATTATAATATGTTGAGTGTCTAAACTATATATCCACCTAAAATTTAGTGTCCCATATATTTATGGCGACTCCAGCTCCTTGGTACAGTTTCCCTTTACTCTTTCTTACCACGGCCCTGTATACACAATACACATATATTATTTAGATAATTATAAATAACTGTAGTAAGTAAGAAGTATATAGCTAACTAATAGCTATTACAGTAAAACCTCCTCTAACAGATACCTCCCAATAGCGGACGTTTTCTTGGGAAAGGGAATATTATCACTATTTTTCAATTGAAAAACTTTCGAATAGCGAAATAATGTTTTTCTCAAAATATAGCTTTTATTCATTAATCATTAATTATGATTAAAAAGTAAATTATTTTGTAATCGTAATCAATACAATAATTACATTATTACTTTAATCTTTTAAAATATTATTTTATTGTGATTATTGATTACATTAATTTATATTATGGTTAACAGTAATAAATTGTAATCGTATAATCTTTAATCATTAATCAGATCACGATTTCACTGGTACCATCAGGAATAAATTAAGGAACAAAAGGTATTAAATTCATCAGATTTATGAAAATTACTAGATATTTAATACGTAGCGAATGTATGATTGATTTTATTTTTGTATATTTTGTAGAAAATAGGAAATTGTACGCATAATATTTTTACTGCACAACTTAAATAATATTGTAAATACCTATTACATCTACTACATTATAATATTCACTAGGTACTTATAATAAGTCTATTAATAAGGTAAATCATCTATTAAAGATAGCCGTATAAATGTATAATAAAATATACTAATACTATGCTATATATGCATATATTCATTACTCACTCATTGACTGACTGCCAATCGATTTTTTTCCGTCAGTTATTATTTTCCTGTTTTCCTCGATAGTCATTTACCAAACTTCTTTACAATGAAAAACGTTAGTGGAAAATGTCCGGGTATACCTACCGATTTTCTTCATAGTTCACTTCATTTTTTGTCAGAACCGGATCGCGAATGTTTGTGTGCGCGCGTAAAAAAAGGCTACATAAACGATTTGTTGTCAAACCAGTCTGCAAAAATGGACTACGATTACATGCGTAAAATGAGTAAAAAAGGAATTGGATGCCCAAATAGAGTGATCAATCTACTGAAATATACTCATTATCCCGGAAAGTATTAACTTTTTTTCGGAATTTGTTTTATTGAACATTTAACCAACAAGCAGCTCTAAAATTTTACATTTATGTTATTTTTTGTCACCCTTATTTTTACTGCTACAACCAATATCTAATATTGGTTTTTAAACGCCAACCTATATTAAAAATTCCATAAATAGATGGAGTATTAGTTAAAATAAATTTTGGTGTAGACATTTTTGATTTCTGTCAATCCTTTGACGATATATTCCACTTTTAAGTTTGGGATGGGGGAAAGTTGTAATGGAGCATTATTTTTGTGACGACGTGCGGCGTTTTAATAATAACTACTCTCATTCGTCTCAAACGGGAATATCTCGTCAATGGATTAAAATCAAAAATGTCTATACCAAAATTTATTTTAACTAATACTCCATCCGTGTTATCTATCTAAAACTGTCATGAATACTTTAAAAATAAATATTTCTAAGAAAAAAATGTACGTATTCTATATTGCTATATAACTGTATAACAATATACACAACAGTTATATATATATATATAATGAAAAAAAAACCAAACTCTAATTTAATAAATCACCAATTATGTATAAATATGTTTTAATAATGCCTGTACCGTTTTGTAGCACAACGATTGCGAAACGGTGTGTAAGAACGAGAAATGCGAAAAAAAAGTCGCCAACGGGGAGGACAGTGTTCTGATGCCCCTCTCTACGGTGGATTCGAAATCAGATTGTCACACACACAGTGTGAGTATAGTATAATAAATTATAACAATATAATTGATATACATATTGGATATATTACCTTATATTACAAGTTTGCCTCCGATGTTTTTAAATCGGCGCTTTTCGGACACCGAAATTAACTGTCATTAGAATCCCTCTCCGGCAATGCAACAGTATAGTTGTAATTTATATCGAACAAGATCATATTTATAGGACTATCGGTTTAGTTTTCGAAAATAATATCAATTGACTGATGCGTCATTGCAACAAAAGAAGATATCTTTACGTTGTTTGATTGGAGCAAGATTTCTAATAAAAAAAACGTTGCTTATAGACAGGAAAAAGAACCACACATCATAGTTTTGGTTATTTCAACTCTGGAGACGGATCTCTGCCGCTCACAGAATTTGTTTGTATTTCTTTTTAAATTGAAAAAATATGGCTTTTACACTGCAGGTGGCCAAAGTAGTGAAAACTATGTTAACATACGTAAGCATATAATTATGTTTTTCGTTACAGTGCTCACACCCTCACCCCGAAAGGAAGATGATGAATACGTTTGGATGGGCTAGGATCGAAGTCGTGGTAATGCTCGGAGGTTGCGTGTTTCTGGCAGCCCTCACCTTCTCCTTGGTGGTCGAAGCCGTCCAGACGCTCATCCACATCGATCACCAGGACCCAATGCATCAGCCGCTATCCGTATTCATCATCGGTTTCGTTGGTCTGCTTATTCATGGACTCTGTTATTTGTTATTGGGAGGTAATGTAAAAAAAGATATACTTAAGACATACTTTGCAAAATGGGTAGGCCACTGTTTTAGGTGAGAAGTTGGGAAAATAGAGGAGAAACTTAATGTATATCTGTACGCAAATTCTGAGCGGAGTTCGGTTAACAGTGTTGCATGTTAACAATATATAACCTGTTTATCTCATTTATTATGAAAACAGCTGGAAAAATAAAAAAATAATCTCCTTAAAGTGTCACCTCAATCAAATTTCCTTTCAGAAAAAGTGATATTTTAATTGAAAATAAGAGCAAAATTACTGGTAGAAAAATTGTCCACAGAAAAAAAAAAATAACATTGTAAAGCCAATACATTCCTCGCTCTAATTTTAATGAGATGTATGTGAGGCAATGCACAAATTGTACATGACAAACTACGGTATAGTCAGTCCAAAAGCCCAGTTAAACGTGCTAATAGAGATATTGAAGCTAATAATCTATCTTGATGCATGGATGTCGGACAGTAAATGTAATGATTGGCCAACCGCTCTCAAGTTTTTTCCAGTTTTAAAAAAATCGAGATTTAAAGCTAAACTAAATGTCCTAGTCTTAGTTGTAAAAGTCTTAACAAAATATTTGAATTTTACAACATTACCTGTACATAATAATATTCTCCATTAATGCCTAGGTATTAACAATTAGTATTTACTAATGTTAGGTATTCATGATATTGGCCAGAAATTTACGTTATTACCTAATTTACGTCTTAGGCGGTAACATATAGGTATTTAATTAATGATAATAAATACCAGGGTATTGTATTTTTGTAACACGGGTAAGTAACGGGGAAGAACTATTGATAAAAAAAGTTCTAGTTATAAGAATACGCGATTTATAAAAAGTATAATTTAATGGCATTTATCCAGTTTTATAGAATTACTTAATATACGTCTGAAATGAATTACCCAGGCAAAAATTAAATATAATTCAGCCTGTAGAACAGAACCAACCGCGAAAAATCGCTTTTAAAAAAAGATTTTTATTTGTCATCAACAAAAATAAATAAAATAGAATTTAACCAGAGTAAAAAAAAAAAATTATAACCAACTTTTTTTAAAAATATTTAAGTAACTAGGTCACAAAAAGTAAAATGTTAAAGTACGTTTATTCCAACTTTATAATTTTATTTTTTTAAAATAAGAAGTTTCAAGATCTATTATAATTGAAAGTACCTACCTTTTCTACTCCTTAATTAAACATAGCTTCCTAATTTGATATGCTATTAAATAATTAAAAACGACAACAAAATTAAGGGGAATGGAAGCGGTGATTAACTGTCTTTGTCTTACACACATGCAACATAGGAATTTATAATCGTTCTATTTCCAACGTACCTACTGATTGGTCTAATGAAGTGATAAGAATTCTAAAAACAGATTTGAATTTTATTATTAATTTCTCGATTTCTTCAGAAATTAAAAATATTTCATTTGTTTAAATACTTCTTTTTATAACGGGTTTTTTTTAGGATTTAGAGAGATAAAATTAAAAATTTGGAAAAGTCGATTTCAAGAAAACTTAACAACAAATTCAAATTTGTTTTCAGAATTCTTATCGCTTCACTAAACCAATCGTACATTGGAAATAGAACGCGTCTAAATTCCTATGTAACACGTGTGTTAAGACAAAGACAGAAAATCACAGCTGCCAATCCCTTTATTATAATAGATGTTATTAGTTAAAAATTATTAATTCTATTAATTCATTAAACTTATTATTGAGGTGATATTATTTTTAGATACATGTTAAAGTAGTGAATTATCAGTAAAACTTGACTGTTTATGAACATTTTTAGAAAATTGTACAAGTATTATGAACTTTGAACAGGATAGGTAAATATATCAGTTATATATTTTTTAATTTTATCTATGCACATTCAAATTATATGGTAACAAATGCATGTACATTACAATCATTAATACCTACTAAAAAAAAAAAAACCATTTTTACTATTTATATTAAGAAATGTTTTTTTTTTGTATTCCAATTTTTTTTTAACTATTATGATTTTGTATATTGATTGTTCACAAAAGTTTTGTAGGAGTAATATTTTGTTGTTAATTTAATAATCTATTTTATTATGCAATTAATATTTGATGAAAACAATTGATAAAATGTTCTTCAATCCCTTTAGTATCAAATCATATTGGGTAACAGGCACATACATATACAGAAGCGGGTATTGTGGATTGACAAAATCTTCAAACCCTCCTCTTGAATTTGAAAATGCTATGTTTAATGCATCATTTATTATACAAGTGCAATTTTAAGTTTTAGATTCTAACTGGAGTGGAGAAGCTTATGGTTTTACAATGATGTTTATTTTTTTTTTCTGTAGACAACTTTTGTGCCATTTTGCTCAGATTTTTAATGATTGCATTTTTTTGAAAGGAAATTATACTGGAGAGTTACTTTAAGACAGTCATTTTTTGATTTTCTCAGGAATTTTTGCAATAAATGGGAAAACCAGTAAAATAGATATACTATTAAAAAAAATGTTTAATGCTTATGTAATTATTTTACTTTATGACATAATATATTGTTAACAAAACCACACTCAGAATCATTTTTCGTTAGTAATGGTTTATTTTTGCTTACCGATATACATTAAATTATCTATAACAGTGGGTACACCCATCCCCATTATCCTAGGATAGTTTTTTTACTTGTGAACACCTCTCCAAAATTGTTTTCTGTTTATGTTTCAGGTCCAATAGCACAAAATTCTAGTGTTCCAGGGAATGAAATATTAACAACTACTCCTCTAAATTCCAGTCTATTACCAAAACAAAAAATACAAATGAAATACTGCCGATTAAGGGAAATATGTCGTGATGTAGTTGGTAGAATATTCTTCTAAACAATGATTACATAACTATACATTTTGCAATAAAATTAACATAACAATAACTTCCATAGGTTGTTTAACGGTGATGATATGTTCGATTGCCGTGCATTACACCAAACCAGCCATAGCAAAGTATATTGATCCTGGAACATCTATTATAGCAGCTGCGGTAATGCTCTATCTAAAATATCCTATTAGTGAGTTACCTATTTGCAATAATTAAAAAATAAAAGAGAATATATCTTCAATCAAATGTTAAAATATATTATATTTACCTAATTAATATTTTAGTGAAAGAATCTGGTTTGATTCTTCTTCAGACAATGCCAGACCGCATAAATATTAATACAATTTGCAAAGACTTGATGAAAACCTTTCCAGATATAGTAAATGTACACGAACTTCATATTTGGCAAATGACTGAAGACAAAATTGTATCTACAGCACACATTATATTTTACAACCCACAAGTAAATATATTTATCTAGTAAAAAATAATTTAATATTCTTTTTTCTTTTTTAAGGATTATTTGAGAATAAATAACGAAGTTATACAGTTTTTCCACACAAACGGAATTTTAGAAGTGACTATTCAACCTGAGTTTTTTAAAGATGAACAGAACATTCAACTGATGCCAGAATATGGCATGGGACAGTGTTTGATACAGTGTAATAACGTAATGGAGTGTTTCAATAGGAATTGCTGTGAACTAAATGACATTAAATTGACTGAACAATGTTAACTATCACTTCACGGGTAAAAAAATGACAGTAATTATTAACATTCAGTGTGTTAATGAACCATGTATTAATATTTCTATACAGCTGAACCAACTACCTAGTTACCTAGTTCATTAATACAAATGTATGAGATTACATTTACAAACATTCAAAAGTAAATATTTCAAATTTAATAATTTTATATTCTAATAATATTTTTATATGTGTTAATTTCTCAACTCAATTTTTATTTTTTCGTTATATACTATAATTAATGGACTAAGTGTTCCTATGTATACTCATATTATGTATTACTGTGAAATTTTTTTTATAATTAATCAATAGTTAAGAAAAAAAAAGTTCAACTTAAATCTTTTTGAAATTTTCAATACAATTATAATTTTATTTTTTATATTAAATAATTGTATTCAAATTAATAAATAAAATGTACAAATATTTAATAATATTGATTATAATAATTTTAGTATGAAAATTATTTGGATACCAGATATCCACTATCCATATAATATAATTTTGTATGTTCTTATTCATTGATTAAAACTAAATATATTAGATATAATAGTACAAGTAAAGATTATATTATAAACATAATATTATTTTATTTTAATAGTAAACAGCTATTTTAGCAATACTCTGTAATTATCAAATTCTTTAATTATATCCTAAATATAATGATAAATAATTATGGGCACAGTCTTTTAAAATATATTTAAATAATTTATAAAACATTTATAATACTTCCATAAAAAAATATTGCAAAAATTATAGTCCATAAAAAATAAAAATAAAATAAACAAATTAATTAAATTAAAACAATAATAGTCATAATAATAATAATAGATTATGGTTTTGTACATTCAATATATTTAATAGACACATTGTCCTGTTCAGAATTTGCTATGGAATACGGGAATTTATCAAACCCATGACAAGCAGCACCATAATGTCCATACCTATCAATAACAATTATGGCACCACTAAAATTTGGATAAAATTGAACAATAGTATCAATGGCTGATTTAGCAGCTCCTTTAGGATTATAGCCATTCTTCAACAATTGAACTGCAAGGAAACTAAAATAAAATATCTTCTGTAAGAAGATTGAACAAAATACTTATAAATATTTTTATTACCTGGGTAAAAACCGCATCATTATATCTCCATCACCTGTTGCCGCAGCAGCGCCTATGTCTTTCATAGCATAAGCTCCAGATCCAGTAATAGGGGAGTCACCAACTCTTCTATAAGGTATTAATATATAAATTATGAAAAAAGATTTTTAGTACTATTTGTTGATTTAATAAAAGAGGATTCATACATATAAGGAAAAAAATTAAAAAAGATTAATTTTAAACTTTAGTCTGGTTTTGTTATTTCTTGAATAAAGAAAAATTGATATTGGAATTTATATTTATATTTGCTAAATAAAAAGGTAAATTTATTACATCACTATCAGATTAGAATGATTGTTCTTTAAAAAATGTACTTCTCTTGAAATAAATATAATTGCAAATCCTTAAAACTAAAACCTAAAACTCTATAGTAATAAATTTTACATATGTAATAAATATATAATTATAATTATTGTCTACCTATTTTTAAGCTATTATTATGTTTAAAATAAATAAACCATAAAATATTGTTTTCTTAAATAATAATTAAACACTATAAATTAAAAATTGTTAATATATATGTTGCAAAGGATTATTTATTTTAATTAATATATTAATAACAATTATGTATCAGATTCATACTTACCCTGGTATTTTAAACTTTGCTCCATTCGTAGATGTACCTGCTGCAATATTCCCATTATGATCAATGGCTACAATACCAATAGTGTCATGATTTTTTGCATCCACAAAATTTGAATTAGGCTTTAAATTGTTTGGTAAATTTGGTTTATAAGGTCCACAATACTTTTCAGGATCTGGCATAACATTCTATAATAAATACAAGTAAAATTCCCAATAACGGTCACCACTATATAATAGTAATTTTTTTTTTTGTGCCGTTAAGCGTAATGGGAAAAATACATTAATACCTCTATATAACAGGCACTATAAATAACAGTCAAAATATAAATAATTGTTTTAATTATTTATAGAAATTATTAAATAAGCAGGCATCTTATCAAACTTTTATAACAAGAAGACGAACACAGCTGGTCTGTGTATTTTATTGTAGGGGTGAATGTCAGTTCAAATATGCTCTGAAATGCGTATTTACGATGGCGTTTAAACGAAAACATCTAACTATAGTAGAAAAAATGAAGTTGATAGATCAACAGAAATTGATTTTGAAAAACTCTTCGAATAATGAAATTTATTTAAAAGAAGCTAATATTGCTTTTTTTAACACGCATAATCAAATCAATCAAATCAAAATTTACATATTTTCAAATTTGTATATGTAACAATTTTTTATAAATTACATAAATACAGTTTTTAGTACATATATATATATATATATATATATTTCATATGAATCGCATGTTTATTTTTTCTATCTTTTTTAGATTCGAAGCTTAAGAAAGGCTCTATTGGTTTTACTATCATGTCTTTTTCTTTTTGTCTGTGAACAACTTTCCTACCACAAATCTTGCTGTAATGTATTGAGTATAGAACCTTTTCAGAAAGAAAATTTGATCAAGTTGGTGCATTAGGGAGGTCATATTTTAATTTTCCAATCAGTTTTTTTATAATAATTGGAAAAACTGAAACAAGAAAAAAAATAAAAACGAACAAATTTAAGGCGTTAATTATTTAAAATTTTTGCAGACAATATTTTCAACCAGACATATTGCTCCAATAGAAAGAAAAACTAGAGACTTTTTTGTTACATATGCAATCTAGTTAGTAAGTAAAAAAGTTTTTTTAATAATTGAGTAAAACCGAAAACAACGTGAAATTTTACAAAAATAAAGGTTTCATTATTTTCAATTCTGCTTTTTTTTTTTTGTTATAATTCAATTTAAAATTTGGGCAAAAAACTTATATTTTCTTTTTTTAAATGTGGTAAATTTTTAAAAAAATTGAGCTATTAATAGACACTTTATTTGCGAATTTTTTCGTAATTTTTATTTTGCAAGATTCTGTGAAGAAAATTGTTAGACTAAATAGAAATGCTTGAAAACTTAACAAGAGTGTAATGCAGTATTTTTTTTTTCTAAATAATTGGTAATATCAAATTTTGATGAAAATCATAAATATTATGGGCTTTTAAAATATGTACAACCAAACTTCGCTCTGAATCGTTTTTCATTAGCAATGGTTTATTGTTGTTTATAGATATAAATTAAATATTTGTATGTATCCTACCTATCTAATTTTTTTTATTTGTATGTACTCAATATAGCGGTCATCTGGAAGGTATTGCACTTCTGTTAATGATCACCTAAAAATAATGATTATTATTTCCGGTCTTTCCGGTGACCATTATATGAAAGTATTACTGAGTATATGTAGTGTTTATATATTAAATACATTAGATTATATTTAAATAACATACAATCCAAAAGTTGGGTTGGCAATTTGTTTTCCAATGTTTCCATAGATCCAGTGAATAATTTGTACTAAGATTTGTTTCATTAAAACCCATTTGTTTTGCAAATTGTGTTGCTCCTTTCCCAACAAGCAAAGTATGTTTTGTATTTTCCATTACATGTCGAGCTACTTTAGAAGCTTCTTTTATACGTTTCATACTGCCCACTGCCCCTACGTTCATTGTAGTTCTATGGATTTCGATTTTATTATTATTTCTCATGGTTTAAATTATTGTAAAAAACCTTATTAGTTTTTATAAAACAAACCCGTCAATAATGAGAGCATCTAAAGCTGTCTCTCCATTTTCGTCTGGACTACCGCCATAACCAACAGTGCCATCACATTGTTCTTGTTCACAAACTGTACATCCAGCTACAATAGCGTCAATCGCTGAACCTCCTGAATTCAACACAGACCAACCTAAACAATTAAATAAATACTAAGTAAATTATAAATATTATTGGACATGGTTTTATGTAGTTTTTGTTGAAATTCAATCAGACATTTCAATAAAAATAAAAATAAAATCTTATCTATAAGAATAGGTATATAGGTTACTTATTGATCAACATTCACCCTTAAGTAATTTGTTATGTTTGACCTATAATATATTCATAAATATAATACAAAGAGTGTTATTTAATGATTAATACCAGTTTATTAAGTACCCATTTAACAATTCAATTGTTTTATCATATTGATTATTTGCTCGAATTGGATTTTTTTGGACGGATTGTTCAAATGACATTCAGTTTTTTTACCAAACACTTTACAATAGTATATTAAGGTTTTATTTATTTCTACTCATTTCATTTTGCGTATCTATATTATCTTGTGCTTAAAGATAGACATTTTTTACAATGTAATGTTATCTCAAATATTATAAACATCAAATGATTGCAAATAGAAAGTATGGGTTCATCCTATTACGAGATAAAGATATACTTTGGACTTAATTTAACACACCAGTGTGTAATTTGTCATTTAAGAAAAGATGGGTGAAAATTAATTATTTTTTAAATTGTGACACTTATTCTAAAAAAAAAAAAAAAAGAGTAGAAATTAATTTGATAACACAAGATTTAAATTTAAGGATCTGCTCAGAAGATTGAATGAAAAATCTACAAACGGTTTAATCTGATGCAGATACCAAATTTATGGATAAATTGTCGTATCATCTAAACACATTGTGTACAAATAAATTGCCACACAGACCAAATCAGTTTTTCTATCATATGACTGAACTGTTTGCTATAACAAAACTGATCTAAAAAGTACTTAAAAATACAGTTCATGACTGCATCTTCTGAATGTATCCGAGTAGATACTAACATAAATTAGATATATTGTCACTGGCACATGTGGTAAAATAACAGACTAGGTAAAATAGTCAATAAATTATATGAGAAACTATAGTAAAACATCACTTATAAAAATAACTAAATAAGTTCTTAATAATTTAATAACTTAATATTAAATATTAAAACTTAATTTAACTTAATAATTTATTAAGTTCATTTATTAATTCTAGATATTGGGTAAAATTATAAACTTATAATTATTAAATATTATTCAATAAGTATAAAAAACAAAAAAATGTTAATTAGGTAGGTAGTTCACAAAAAATTGTTGAAATATAAAACGTATTGTAACTCGTGATTTAAAAATTTTTATTCATATTTATGACAATAATAAACAAATATTTTAATCATAATTTCTTTATGAATTTAAAAAACTATTACTTTTTGAAGCCGCATCAGTAAATGCCCATGTGTTGATAACTACTGGAACTATTCGACGGTTATTGAAATAGTTTAAATCAATAAACGTAACAATTGTAAGAGTGACAATGACCAAACAAATTAATCCTAAAACTTGTATGTAATAATTAATAAATGCTTTCAAACATTTGATACCAAACGAGGAGTTATTTGAATAATCATTTCCAATATTGCCATACTTGGCAACCATATTTAGGCAAATGTACTTGACAAATGAAAAAACAGAACAAACAGTACCTATTGCGGTGGATAAATAATAAAAAATTGTTTTCTTATATCGGCTAAATAAAAACTATAGTCTGTACATATTCTGTGATGCTAATTTCTAGTACCTAGTAAAGTTTACTTTAATTAACAATAGTATTTTGCATAAATCTATGATCTGTAGTATTTTGTAATCACGAACTAAAATATTTATAATATTATAAATGGTGATCACAACATAGTAAGCGAGTGACAGAGAACAGGCCGCAAAAATTTCCCCTCTTATCAAAATCACTGTATACGGTCCACGGGTGTAGATAATATGATTGCGGAACGAACCGTGATAATGTGAAGTTCAAAACGTATATTGGTTTCGTGTATTGGTATAATCCTTAGATCATAATTTTTCAAATGAGAATGCACTGCGTTGCTCATTTTATCAGAGGCGGAACGCGGAACCACACGTCTCTACCAAAAAATTAGTATTTGTAATAGGATGTACGCGAGTCTCAACCGAAAGTTTCTGTTGAAAAAGAGTAAATTAGGTGTTATCTAGAGAACCTTGACTTTTCCATAGATTTATAATATATGTTTATAGATCTATGGTATTATCGTTGTTCAATGCATGAACTACGTTCATTAAGTACATTGAACTGTATATATCTTAGATTATATAGTATATGATCTAAGGCAGTATTTCCCAACCCATGGGTCGTGTCCCAATATTGAATCGTTAAATATTTTTGATGGGTCGCGATGAAAAAAATATATTTTGATTATAATACAATTACAATACAAAATAGAAAAAATAAAAATATATTAATAAGAATAGTAAGAAAATAAACAAATGTGAAAAACTGAAAATGTACGAAATATAAGTATTAGTTAAAACATATTACGGCCTTCTTTTGTCTTGTGAACAACTTTTCTACCAGCAATTTTGCTCCAATTTACAATGATAGCACTTTTTTCGAATGGAAATCTGGAAAGATATTTTAAGGAGGTAATTTTTTAATTTCCCAAGAGTCCCAAGCAAATGTGATAAACCGAAAAAATCGGTACAATATTAAACAAATATTAAAGAAATTATTTTACCATAATATAACATACATATTGTTGACAAAGCATCACTATTAACTGAACTCCGCTCAGAATTGTTTTTTCGTTAGCCAGCCATGATTCATCGTTGCTTACATATATACATTAATTCCCTTCTGTATCCTACCTTCTCAACTTCCCACTTAAAACAGTGGCTATATCCCTATTATCCAAGGGCAGCTTTTTTTTTTATGGATCGCATACCCAAAATAGTTGTGGGTTGCCATAAAAAAAATGTTGGGAACCACTGATCTAAGGTATATATTATATTGTACTGTATTGATACCTATCCAGTATCAATACACTTTGATGAGGTCGAGCTACCGAATAGACCATAATTACTTGTAAAATCAATAGTTATAGTTATTAGGTCTATGGGGAAGAGAAGAGAGCCTATATAACGACCTATTATGTAGGCTCTCTAGGGTAGACCAACCATTATAGACATATGTCAATTCAGTATTCGTTTCCATGTCTATGGTTTTACCAACATAACGACACTTAAATAATTATTATCTCGATATAATAATTTAAAAAAAAAAAATCGGTCTATGTAAATAAACTTTATTCAAATCATAGATATTAAACTTTTAAAAAATGTAAAAAATATAAGTAACTATTTATAACTCTATAATCCATAATTCACATAAGTTAATAAATCGTATTATTCAATTTTCGTCTTGTTGCGTAACCTGTGTTATCTTAAAATGTGATAATGCGGGCCCCTTGTTTATAGAAACTATTTGTTTGTTAATAGTCCTTGTAATTTGTTTACAGATTACAAAATTAAAAATATCTCGTTATCTCGTGATATGGTCGTAATTTGTTATGAATATTTCATTAACTGAACGTTATTGAAAAAATTGACGTTTTCATTGTAAAGTAGGACGTGTATAACACTGACCGTTTATCGGTCTAGTTTCCTTATAGTGGACATTTTCCTAACATTTCAACAGAATCATGTCGGCAACTACTAGAAGTATTCGTCATCAAACGCTCGAACAACAAGTAAATTATTTGTTTTAAAATTAATCATTTGCGAACATTAGCTAATTGGTATTCTATTTTACCGTTTATACTCAGAAACAACTGTTAGAGATGAAAATGCGGCAAATTAGAGAAACTCCTCAGATAATTAAAGCATCTGATAATGTTATGCCAAGTTCAAGATTACGGCCAAAATCAGGCAGGCAGATTGAGATGAACTGTAAGTAATCTATCTCGTAATGCAATTGATTGTTTTTATTTTCATTATTCATGATTTTGACTTCAAAAATATTATAGTTTAGTTTAATAAAATCTAGATGTCTGTAACTTGTCAAATAATAGAATATGGTTTAAAACATAAATTATATAGTTTTCTATATTTTATATGATAAAATTACTTTATTGGGTGCTTTGTAATTTTTTCTTTTTTGAAAAGGAGCGTTTTTACATGCTTTTTTGAATTGTTTAAAAAATGTGCAAAAATTGTTGGTTCAACAGTTATAACCATTTAAGATTTAGGGAATTTAACAGGGAAAAGACAAACTATGCATTTTGGGTGCACCTAGAGACCAAAAAATTATAAAACAATATGAGTAAGTTTTGAGCTAAAAACAAAATGTTTAATAACACTTGTAGCCCAAAATAAAATTTAATATGACCAAAGAAAGTGCAGACATCTTTTATAGACTTGTAAGTATCAAACTCTATACCAAAAATTCTACGTAAGATGCATTATCTTTTGCACTGCAGTGAAATGTAGAAAACTACATCAAAATTAGCTATTTAAGGAAAATCTTAAAAAAAAAAAAACAACTTCAATTGGCTTTAACTTTAAAACAAAGAGTGCCTACATATTAAAAGTTGTAATTGGTTTCCTTCCTGTGATTGCTTGTATATTTATTTGATTAAAAATATAAAGAAACATGAAATATTAAACAGTTTTACTGAGTATCATATTATTATTGAGTGATTTTATGACATTGTAATGAGTTGAGAATAGTATATTACTATAGTTTAAAGAAATGTTTTTCCTTATGGAGAAATCTAATAAAATGGTAGGTAATAAAAAAAATTTAGACTTAGTACAGATAGGTGTTCATTTTTGGACATAAAACTAAAAATAAATCTTAAATATGAGAATTTAATGCTAATATCATATTTTAATTTTTATAGAGCTCTATAAGGATAAAAAAATTATCTTTGAACCTCAAGAAGTCCTTTTTACTAAAGCAGGATTGAAATATTGTATTTTCATTTGGATTTTAATTTTCAGTTAACTGCATATTTTAAAATTTAATTGTTTCGGTTTATATAAACAAATAAAACAAAAAACTGTTAAACATATTTACAAGGAATAAGATTAGTTTAATGTATTCTTAGTTATAAATTTTAAAATTTGGGCGAATTATAGTAATATGTTTTAGAAGTTCTAAATAAAATTTGAAATTAATTTGATTGACTTGTGTGTATTGTTCATTTTTTAAGATTTAAATAATTAATTTAATAGTTTATATTAGTACCTATATGAATGAGAAGAGTTTCACTAAAATTGATATCAATACAAAAAAATTGTTTACATAATTTAGTTAAACGAACTAGGAGAATAATTACTTTTATTATTTTTATAATTTGTTTTAAACTTTATTACCTTTTTATTTTATGTTAAATATACAAATTTAGCTTAAATTAATTTACTTGTATGTTAATTCTAGTTCACTATACCTTAAAATATTATAATTAATTAAATATATATATGTATACTATTCTATTTTCTATTATGTAAATTCATTTTATGGTTATTAGGTTATGATGGTCCATTAACTTATGCAATGATGAATAGCAGTCCAGATTCTAGTGATATATTAGGCGTATCAAGACATTCTATTAACCATCATGATATTATTGAAGGTTTGTTTATGTACAATATTAATGTTTTAAATGTGTTTTCTTTTATAGAAAATCTTTTAATATTTCAGTACAGATTTTTAATTTTAGTGTTAATTAATACATTCAACTATTGTTATGTGTTCTTGGAATTTAGTATTGATTATTTATTATTATTATTATTTTAGATATGAGAAAAGAAGTAGCTGAAATGACTGTTGATGAACGTAGTTTATCTGTTGATACAGAAGACGAAGAATCTAGTTCAATTTCTCCAGTTAAAACTTCCATACACATCAAAGAGAACAGCCCATTTATTTATCCGTCTTCTGTAATTACTGATGTAAGTTCTCCAAATTATTATGTATATATTATAGAGTGTTGTACTTATTTAAATTAAATTTTTTTTAGACCAACGAACTAGAAGGAGATGTATATGGAAATTTAGAAACATTCGTTCTGGAACCTGCTGCCCAAGGTGTTCATTTTAAATGTCGTATAACTAGAGATAAAAAAGGAATGGATCGAGGACTTTACCCAACATATTATTTACATTTAGACAAGGGAAATGGATCTAAAGTAAATGATCAAAAATTAAATTGTTATATTATATATGTATACATGATATATTGGTATTTTAGGTATTTTTATTGGCTGCACGTAAACGTAAAAAAAGTCGGACATCAAATTATTTAATATCAACAGACCCGACCGATTTATCAAGAGGAGGTGATGCGTATGTTGGAAAGCTCAGATCAAATTTAATTGGTACTCAATTCACTGTATATGATCATGGTACATCGCCATATAAATCTACTATAGAAGGAGCACAAGAAAGGCAAGAATTAGCAGCTGTAGTATACGTAAGTTGTTAAATATTTATTATTTACTTTTCATTGTAAAATTTATATTTTTATTTTAATTGGGTTTTTAATTTACACATAATTTACTATAGGAAACTAATGTGCTAGGATTCAAGGGACCTCGTAAGATGACTGTTATTATACCTGGTATGAATAAAAATCACCAGAGAGTTAAAATTGCTACAACTGATAATTATAGCTCACTATTAGGTAATAATTTAATGATGAATAATTAATAATAACTTCATAAATAAAAAATAATCTTTTACAATTTTGTATAAATACAAATTCTTATAGAATGTTATCGTGCAAAAAATATGGATGATCTAATAGAGTTACATAATAAAACACCCCAGTGGAACGAAGAAACCCAATCCTATGTTCTCAATTTTCATGGAAGGGTCACACAAGCTTCAGTCAAAAATTTTCAAATTGTTCACGACAATGATGGTTAGTATTATTTTTGAACTTATCTCACTTCCACTGCTTATTGATGTCATTGATATGTATTTCTTTACTATTTTTTCTACCTTTATTTAAAAAAATTAAATTGAATTATTATTATTAGTTTGAATAAATTGTGTAAAGTCAGTATATTATAAAGATCCCAAGACACTAATTTTGAAATGTTGTGGATTTAATTTTTGATAGCATTGTGTTATATATAATGTATTTGTTTCTTTTTCAGTTGATTATATTGTCCTGCAATTTGGTCGTATTTCAGATGATCTCTTCACAATGGATTACAGATATCCATTGTGTGCAATGCAAGCATTTGCTATTACTCTTAGTAGTTTTGACAGCAAATTGGCTTGTGAATAACTGAATTATATTTTATTTCCATTCAAAAGTTTCTAAAATCATTTGAGTTTGGTATCTTAGTTAATTATTATTATTTATTATTTATTTATTATTATATTTTTTTATCTCATTTCACCTATAGTAATCTATTTATATTTTTGCACCAAAAAACTTAAATTTATTCTAGTCTATTTTTATATGTTTACTTTAAATTTATTAATTTTAATTAATGAATTCTATGATGAATTTGTATTATTTAAAATCTCATACTGCTATAAAAACCATTTAGAACCTTGCCATTAATTACACTGCCATTTTAAATTAAAGAAAAAAGGTGTTTTATTTTAATATTTATTTTTCACCCCTTGAAATATATTTACATATTGAAAGATTTCATTTTATCAATCTTAGATTTTAAATTATTAAAAATAATATCTTCATCTTTTATTTTTTTCCAATTTTCTTTGAAAATAGAGATTATTGCACCCATTTTTCTATATATGGCTTTTTCCTGGTACTTTTTGGACACTTAGAGACTCTTTGAACCAAATGAGCTTAAACTCTTTTATTGAGAGTTTTTTTATAGGCGAGTTTAAGATTTACAACTTTTATTGAATTTCACTATATTGTTTGGAAAAAGGATGTCTTTTAGCCTTGCACATTCCTACAGACTCCTCCAAATGAAATAAGGGGATACAATTTTGTAACTGTATGGTTTAAGTATCAAGGATGTACCTTTTGGTGGTTTCATCATTTAACTTCCTCTCCAACTATTTTTATGCTCGAATTTTATATTTTTACAGAAAATACCAGATTTTAAATATCCATTTAAGATATTGTGCACTAACTCATGAAAGTAACTTGGTTAAATTTATATATATATTTAAAACCTAACAGCAATTATTGTCGATGTTATGCCTCTTTAAAAGGTTTGAACTTCCAACCCTGACCCCACCACTTATATGTTTAGTAAAAATCTCAAATTCCTTATATTCATCATTATTCATTATATATTGAAAAAAAAAATAAAATAACATTACAACAAAAAATCAGTGGAGAAAATTTGACTCTAGTGGAAGAGATCTACTGCTCATGTGATTTTTTAGTTAAATTACATTAGCTAGTATCTAGTCGTGTTATTGTTTATTATATTGTTGTTATTTACTCAATACCTAAACAGAAAAATGTATACTGTTCTTTAAATAACTAGCAACGTACTATTTGACATTTTGGATGTATACAAAATTATTTATAATTTACTGTAATTTTTTTTTAGTTTTAGATTCCGAGTGTAGTGAGGGAACTATTGGTTTTACTAAGGTGTTTATTTTATTTTATTTTTTTTGTTCTTTGTTCTACTATATGTACACAATATTTCCTAGTAAACTTGCTCCAATTTGCAAGTGTAGCAATTTTTTTGAAAGCTCAAGTTATCTAGATGGTACTTAAGTCAGATATTTTTTTGATTTTTTAAATAAAAGCTCTTAAGTGGGGGAAAAACTTACTTAAAAATACGTACAATTTCATTATTTATAAAAACACGGACAACGTTTTATACCTGAAAAAATGATTTAATCGAAAAGTCACAAGATACCTATATTGTTGTCTTTTTAATTTACTTTCTAACGGTATCATTGCTAAAACTTTTGAGCTTTTAAGGAATTTTAATTTTTGGGATTTTTTTTGCTGTAATTCTGTTATAAATACACATAGAGACTTGAAACTAGATAATAGTACTTATATTAGACTTACCTAGACGTGGTCAAATTTACAAAATCATTGGACATTTTTTTTTTTTTTAAATTTATGTTTTGAAATTAAATTTAAATGAAAATCGCAAAAAAAATTAGGGCACTTCAAATTATTTATTACTAAACTGCGCTCGGAATCCTCTTTCGTCAAGCAATGGTTTATCATTGCTCATAGATATAAATGAAATAACCTTATGTATCCTACCTTCCCAACTTCTCACCTACAACAGTGTCCGCTCGAATCTCCAGTATCAGCTCTTTTTGCTCATTTGATTTATTGTTTATTTATAAAAAAAAACATTATTAAAATTATAGATATAATTTTTTGTTTTCATTGGTTGTGGCAGTTAAATCATAATTTTTTTTTTTTTAACATTAAGTCATTTTGTTATGTTTAAGTTTTATAATTTTTCACATCACTAGTATCACATGTCAAATATTGTGCACTAATTTACCAACTATTATTATAATTATTTGTAACTTTATTGTATTTTGTGTGTATAAATGAAATGGTCTAAGTTACACCACTTGTGCCTTACATTCAGGACCGCTCTTAGGAGTCGATGTTATGGGCTTTGACTTCTAACTTTAATTTTAAAAGTAATTTTTAATTTTTTATATTTTCAAATGAGTTAAGTAATTACAGTAATTAATAATTTTGTTTTTGCTTTATTATTTTATTATTAATTATTTTTATTTGAAACAAGTTTTCAAGAAATATATTTAAAAATACTTAGCCCACAGCCTAGTAGATCCTAAGAGCGACCCTGTTTACATATCATATAATAATTTTACAATTCAATTTGTAATTATTTGTATGTTAATTAAAACAAAAACAATTTGAGTAAAACTAATAGTTTTGTTATTAATATATTTCTTGATATCTTAATTCGTATTCATCTTGGGCTGAATTCCCTGAAGTGCACTATTAATCTAAAATTTGAAAAAAATAAAAGTTGTTAATTTTAAATGGTAAAATATATCAAGACACAGCTGATTATAGGGAAGGGTGGGGAAGTGTACCAAACCCCACCAGAAGAAAAATTAATTTTCTTGTCTGCAATTATAGAAAAAATTTCTGAGTATCTAGTCTGAAATTTTACATTTACAGAAAAATAAATAAAATCATTTTAGCCTTATAGTAATGTACTGATGTATAACATGTTATGCTAAAAAGGCTGATAAGCCAAAAAAAAAAATAGCTTTATCAGTTAAAATTTGTATAATTTGTATGTTTACACCCCTCCCCCTCCCATCAATGATTGCTAGCCCCGACACTACAGGCATACGTAAAACCATTATTGATCTAATTTTTTTGATATAAATTATTCATAAAACAAACATTAAAATGATTGATGTGCCTGTAGTATGTATTGGTTTTACCTGTCAGGTTATTGAAAAAATATGATGTGTAATATCTGTAATGTATTCCAGATTACTATGTCCTATACATTTCAAGATAAACTATTTTAACTACTTTAGAGATGCCAGCCTGATCAATTGTGTTTCTCAAAAAGTTCGTTTTTGATAAGAAATTTTAAGTGAATGTTACCATTATTACCTATTTTAATTCTTAAATTCCAACGCCAACAATCAGAATATTTATTTCAAATAATATTATGTAAGTATGCAATATTTTAATTGAAAAAACAATAATTTACTGTGGCATAAATAGGCACCACCTAATGTGGACGTTGTCAATATGAAATGAGTATTAAAAAGTTGTTGACATCAAATCCACTAACGTTGACAGCCCAAATGTCGTAATAAAGGTATACCTACACTATATACAATAAATTAAATACATCTGGCGTGTGCAATTCAAATAAAATAGACAAATGAAATTTAAAAATAAAAAATAAAATTTTATTTATAATAACTGCAGTTGTCAGTAATAACAAAATAGTTAAAATAAACTAGTATTCCTTGTAACACTAGGGACAATGTTTACCTATAATCTAACAAAATATTTTAGCCTATAATAATAATAGTAATAAATAATTATTTAAAAATGGATATGTACTAGGTACCTACTACCTATAACATAACATAAACAAATATTTACTCATTGATCATGTATTAATTTAATTTTAATTGCCCAATTTCCACTGTCAGAAAAAATAATTTTTTTTTTTTTACTTAAGTAATCTAATCTAGTTTATGTTTTACTTGCTTATTCTATTTAAAAAAAAAAATGATTTATAACACCCTGGACTCTCCCCTCCATAAAACTGCCACTGTATATTACCTACCAACTATGTCGTTGAAATTAATATACGATATATAGGTATTTAGATAGTTTATATCTTCCTATTTAAAAAGTTTCTGTTTTATTTAACAAAAAATACATTATTACAGCTTGGGTTTTGCCCTCTGGATAATAATTTGTATAACTTATATGAATTTAAATTTTAAAATAATTTCTAGTTATTTTCCATTATAAGATCTTAAATATAGCAAATTCTCAGGAATGTACCTTTCTGCTTGAATTACTATGATATGTATTTTGCAATGATCTTCAAGTGTACAATTTTTTAAAAATAATTTTATATACATAATTGATGCATGGATATACTGTCATTTTTTGATGTTCCCAGAAGTTTTCATAATAATTGGAAAAAACAGGAAAACGGAAAAATTTACAAAGGTGTATTATTTTTAATTTTGTTGTGATATAATGATGATAAATATGTGAAATATTCGTTTAGAGGACTTGAAATTTGGACAGACAAACTATACTTGCCTTTTCTAGATGAGGTAAAATATTCAAAACATTTTAACCATTTTTGAGCTATTCACATTTTAATTTTAAGTTTTTCACGTAATTTTTATTTGGTAGATATTCTGTATAAAATTGTTAGACCAAACAGAACTGTTTGAAAATTTAACACGAGGTTCATTTTAAATCGTATTTTATGGTAAAAAAAAAAAATTAGTGTATCTAATGTAGAATTTTTTTAATAAGTATATTAATATCAAATTTTAACGAAAATTGTAAATATTATTGGCTTTAAAAATAGGTATAACTTAATTCCGCTCAGAATTGTTTTTCATTAGCAATGATTAATCGTTGCGAACATGTTAACAGGTTTAATGTATACTTCTACATTGAATTCCGCTTTATATCTTATCTTCGCAACTTCTCACATACAACAGTGGCCCATCCTTCGTGAGAATTTATGTCCGTCTTTTTCTTTTTATTATAATTTAATATAAAACAATCGTAAAAATCTGACATTATTTTCACAAATTACTTAAAATACATTTATAGTAACCTTTTCTAGACGTGGTTAGATTATAAAACTTTTTGGCGATGTTTGAATAAGATCAATTGTGTGTATATTAATCTAAGTGGCGTATGTGGATCTGTATTTTTGTAAGACGGTTTAAAACTTCCAAATTAGGGTGACAGGTTTTTAGGTGGAAATTAACTAATTCCGAAAATTTCGTGCGAGACATGCCTTATACCCTGTAATTAATAGGATGCCATTAATTAATGGGACATGGGCCTGTTAGATGTTGAGCATGGTTGGCTAAACTCACCCAGTCCAGTATTGTTTCTTACCTATGATAGTTACACACCCATCAGCAGTATCAGCCCTATTTTTTTAATATAGTCTATATCACTTATAGTCGGTGCTTGAAGCACAGTAGTTGGGTTCTAAAGTCTCTATTACACATTCTTCAGAAATGAAACAGATACGAATAAATCCACACTATTTACTCGAGCGATTCAGATTACTCGACTGTCGCCTTGTTTGTGAGTGGAACGAAATGTGGAGTTTACTTGGCGATTGTATATCCAACTTCCGAGCATACGCAGTGATGATTTTCACCCAGTTACCATGCTTCAAAAAATTAAACCAAAGCTCTATTCGGTATTTATGAATATGATCAAAGGCAGACTAGATAAATATCTAACACAAAAATAAGTTCTAATATATTTTCGAAAGTAGATTTAATTACTATTCTATAATGTTTGAGATGAATATAAATTGGAATACTAAAACACATACGTAGATATGTATGCCGTTCTTATATGTAGCATAACAACGAATGTACTGGTTTACTATGAAATATACACTAAATTTGTTCCGTTTACAAACAATTTTTGTACCAGAAATCTTAATCCGATCAAAACCAATAAACAAGCTTTTATGTAGCATTTTGAATATAATTGGTGTATTGGGAGGTCGTATTTTTATTTCCCTCACAATTCTTAATCGAAAAATCCGGAAAAAACGAACATATTTACGACGAAAACGATTTCATTAGCTATAGGTAGGTACTTATTTTGAATTTTTTCGATTGTTTTTCTACCTGGAATTTTGTTTGGAATTATTTCTAGAATAGCAGCTTTTCTAAAAAAGTTTTTTCAGTGGCTGTTGCATGCTACGAGATCCAAGGGGCCTTTCGTCAAAAGCCGTCAGCCGTCAAGAGTTTCGGAAGGTTATTTAGAGATTTGTGTAAACTGCAGTAGAATTAGTTATTGATTGTAAAGGACCGACAGTGAGGATGCTTTCAAGGAAAATAATTTATTTAATTATTTAATTAAGTGATTTGCTGAAACGGGGCCGATGTGCGTCTTTCGGGGCTGGTAAAATACATATTTCCCGGGCTATTTTTATATGAGCTAGTCCAATAATTCTGGTGTTAATGGCTAGGTAGCTATTAACATATTAACATATTAAATATTTACATCTTTTGAATGGTATGTGTGGCTATGTCCTATTTTTATTCTCCTTACCTGATTTTCGAAATACGTCGAGACAACGGAAATAACTTGATTATAGTAATGCATTACTTCTGGACTAGTGTTCGTGTACGGTGCAGGTATATTCGCATATACAGCAGCTTTTATCTCGTTTTTCAAAACGTCTGGAACATACGTCTGTGGTGTGTTTACCATTTGCGGTGAATCGTCTCCATTATTATTATTTTGCAGTTGCCTATTAACGTTCGTGTTGACATTATTAGTATTATAGTAATATTGCATCTGCTGCTGCTGCTGCTGCTGCTGCTGCTGCATCTGCTGTTGCTGCTGCTGCTGCTGCATCTGCTGTTGCTGTTGTTGCATATTATCGTTTGCGGTATTTAGACTTTGATCGAAATTCGCCACGGCCTGCAGATTATTTTTATTATTATAGTTATAATTATTGTATGGATTCGCACTCGGCACTGTTGCGGTTTGATAATTTAATATGGATGCAGGTTGACTATTGTACGGACTCGGGTTTCCTGTGAATCCCGAAACAATTGTTTGGTAATCGTTTTCGGCCCTATTGATGTATGGTAATAAATTATTTTGAAGAGTTTGCATGGGATTCGTAAACATATTTCCCGGACTGAACATGTTAAACTCTCGCTTTACTCGTTGACTCTAAAAATGAAAAACAAACCGGAATGAAAATTTCGTATCAACAAATATTGTAGGCATAATAATAACTTACACCAAAGCCGTTAAATGTCGACTCCACAATCTTCCGGATGCCGTTGATAATAGCCATTATGACGGCATACGTCAAACTGACTTGTTGCATTGCTTGGGCGTTAGGAAAACCTGTTAGTGCCGTATCAAATAATGTCTTAGCGCCATCAATCGGAATCTGCACTGTATTTGCAATGTCAGTCATTATGTTATGTATCGAAAGTCCAGTCAAAGGTATTCCAAACATAGACGATGACCCTGAGTAACTACTCGAAAGAGCATTTTGTTGATCTTGCTGTTGTTTCTGTACATAATCATAGTTAGGCAATGACCACGAAGTACTAAACGATGGAGGATGGGTCAAATCGACGTTCGGCTTGTTATTCAATTGTTGTTGTTGATTATTATTATACAACACTGAATTTGCTAGCAACTGATTTCGATTAATACTACGGTCAAGAGCCATATTGCTGGGTGAACTATACAGATAAGGTCGTTGAACGCCCACAGTATCCGCAGTATTATATGGATATTGAGTATATTTAGGTGGTTTATAATTTAATAAATCGTGATAATTGTTTGGATTATTTTTATCGGCAGTACTAGGCGAATTTAAAACGGGTTGTTTTAACACATGAATGTCATCTGGATGAGCATAGACTCTAAGTTTAGCATTGTCCTGTCCAGCTTTTTTATCTTCAAAGTCTACGTTATATACTTTATCGTAGCTAGAAAGTCCGAATGGACGTATGATAAAATCGGCATTATTTATATAATGGTTTGCTCCAATGTTATCATTAGGTTTGGGTGGTGAATTATTGTTTAATATGCTCGTATCTGCCGGTAAATTTTCAAAATTAAAAAAACTATTCGGCATTTTTTTAAAGGCATTGTCTACCTGAATGTCTTGTTCTAGCAAAGACTTTGGTGAATGCAAATCAAATGAGTAGCTCGATTGAGGATTACTTATCACTGTAATTGTATCTGACGATGTATCAGATGATGGCTTAGGGCTAGTAGGAAATGAACTAAGAACTTTGTTTAAATCTGGTTGAATCTGAATATCTTCTTTGTGTATGTTATTTGTATAAGTGTCCCACCATGAAGAAGATGGCTCTGGTGTATTCTCAGGTGGTTGTAACTGAGTTGGATCAGGGTTTGAGCCTGTGACAGGTGCTGTTTCTGATAGCGGTTTTTGTTGCAATGGTTTCTGTGATGGATCTATTGAGGATAAATTGTCTGGTACTTGCATTGGTTTAGGTGGCCCGAAATTCTGACGATTTGTAAATAATTGATTTTGAGATCCTTTTGATGAAAGGGGGATTTTTGTGTCAGATGTTTGCAGTAGTGTATTCTGTGATTGGTCTTTAGATGATAAATTTGAATCAGTCTGAATTATAACTGGTTTTTTTTGTTCTTGTGATGTTTGTAGTGGTTTATTAGTCTGGTCTTTATCAGTATCTGGAATAAAATCTGGATGGTCTAAAATCAATTGCTGTTGTGGTTCTTCTGGAGGAAGTGGGGCAGATGGTGATGAATGCTGAGGTTGTAACGGAGAAGGATTTGAGGGTGTTGGTAATGAAGATAACTGCGGTGCAGGCTGAGGTTGTAACGAAGAAGGATTTGAGGGTGTTGGTAATGAAGACAATTGCGATGAATGCTGAGGTTGTAACGGAGAAGGATTTGAGGGTGTTGGTAATGAAGATAACTGCGGTGCAGGCTGAGGTTGTAACGGAGAAGGATTTGAGGATGTTGGTAATGAAGACAATTGTGATGCAGACTGAGGTTGTAACGGAGAAGGATTTGAGGGTGTTGGTAATGAAGATAACTGCGGTGCAGGCTGAGGTTGTAACGGAGAAGGATTTGAGGGTGTTGGTAATGAAGATAACTGCGGTGCAGGCTGAGGTTGTAACGGAGAAGGATTTGAGGGTGTTGGTAATGAAGATAACTGGGGTGCAGGCTGAGGTTGTAACGGAGAAGGATTTGAGGGTGTTGGGAATGAAGATAACTGCGGTGCAGGCTGAGGTTGTAACGAAGAAGGATTTGAGGGTGTTGGTAATGAAGACAATTGCGATGAATGCTGAGGTTGTAACGGAGAAGGATTTGAGGGTGTTGGTAATGAAGATAACTGTGGTGCAGGCTGAGGTTGTAACGGAGAAGGATTTGAGGGTGTTGGTAATGAAGATAACTGCGGTGCAGGCTGAGGTTGTAACGAAGAAGGATTTGAGGGTTTGGTAATGAAGATAACTGCGGTGCAGGCTGAGGTTGTAAATAACTGCGGTGCAGGCTGAGGTTGTAACGAAGAAGGATTTGAGGGTATTGGTAATGAAGACAATTGCGATGAATGCTGAGAGGTTGTAACGGAGAAGGATTTGAGGGTGTTGGTAATGAAGATAACTGCGGTGCAGGCTGAGGTTGTAACGGAGAAATATTTGAGGGTGTTGGTAATGAAGACAATTGCGATGCAGACTGAGGTTGCAACGGAGAAGGATTTGAGGGTGTTGGTAATGAAGATAACTGTGGTGCAGGCTGAGGTTGTAACGGAGAAGGATTCGAGGGTGTTGGTAATGAAGATAACTGCGGTGCAGGCTGAGGTTGTAACGGAGAAGGATTTGAGGGTGTTGGTAATGAAGACAATTGTGATGCAGACTGAGGTTGTAACGGAGAAGGATTTGAGGGTGCTGATAATGAAGATAACTGTGCAGGTTGAGGTTGTTGTAACTGATTTAAGTTGGTAGGACTGAGATTCGTATTTAAGGAATCGAGTGAATTTGGTGATTGTGGTGAAAACGAAGACGCCGAGATTGGTGGTTGGGGTAGATTTTGTGATACTGTATTTGCTTGTGACTCTTGGTTTTGTATTGTTAATCCTTGTTGGTCCATATAATTGGTATTTTGGTCATAATTAGTGTTGGGATTTTGGTTAATATTTGAAGATGGCGTTGCTAATGACTGATATTGAAGTGATTGTCCATTGTTAGAATTGAATTGATCTAATTTTAATTGGGATGCGTTTGGTTGATTTTCAAGTCTTTGATTTGTTTGTGTGGATTGACTTGTTTGCATCTGATCAAATTGTTCGGCCTGAGTTGTTTGCAACTCATTTGATGATTGTGCGACTTGTGGTGTTTGGACCAGATTCGTTTGTGTAGCCTGTGTTTGTATCAGATTTGGTTGTGTAGCTTGAGGTGTTTGCATAGGATAGGTTGGAGGTTGATATTGATTTGTCATTGGCTGGTATAACGGTTGTCCTGGGGGTGAATATGGGGGTGGTGGATTTGGTGGCTGCATATATGGCTGGCTATAATACATCATTGGTTGTTGATTTGGTGGGTAATTTCCACTAAACATGTTATTGTTCATTGGAGGAGCTGTTTGAGTATTATAATTATAGCCATTATAATTCGGGATGTAATTTTCTCGTGCACCTTGGACTGGAGGTTGTTGGCCCCATGCAGTGTTAGTTACTCCATTTTGTTCTATTAACTGTGATGAACCCGGAGGATTGTTGGGATAACAATTAACAAAAAGCAGCTGTTAACAAATTAATTAATTTACATTACTCCTCATTAGGTAGGTATTGGATAGATACAGCTACAAAAAGTAGCGAACGTATTGATTTGTCCTAATTATATTCTAGTTAATCAGGTGTACGTATCTAAACATAATGCAAATATAAAGGTGTTAAAAAACAATAGTTTCATTTTTCAATGAAATATAATATTTAAATTACTTTCAACTATGCATTTATTTTTTATACTTTTATATAATTCACCCCGCAGTAATTATTCTTTCTGTTTGGATATAAAAATTCACTACGGACAGATTTTTTATTATGATTTTTAGTTGTAGTTACTAGTTATTCTGGTTGTAGAACAAAATACAAGGACATAGACTAGTAGTGGTAGTAGTATCTCATAATGGGTAATTTTGATTATATTATTATTTATTATAAAACAAACCAAAAATAGTACATTTCACTAAAAAGTTCAATAATTAGGAAATATAAATTCAAGGATTTCAAGAATTCATATTATTAAATCATTATATAACATAAATATCTAATATACAAGTTGATTCAAAATTTATATTACAGTCATTTTATTATGTAAATATTCAAAAAGAAGAAAACATATAATACAATACTTTTTCAATTTATATACATCTAAAATAATTTGTACATTTTTTTACTTTTACTATCCTCTTTTGGAGGAATTTTAGTAATCAACTTTTGAAATTAAATTGAAAACCTATATTCAAAATATCATAAATAGACGGAGTGTTAGTTTAAATAAATGTTGGTGTTAGAATTGTTTATTTCTGTCAACGAGTTGACGAGATATTTCAAATTTTAGTTTAAGTAAGACAGTAATGGAATATTATTTGATCAACTTGGTGGTTAAAGAAGTAAATTTTTCCTTTTTGGTAAATTAAGAAAGTTGGTTTTTGATTTTCCTTTGAAGTTTTCTTAATTATTGGGAAAATCATAGGAAAAACGGAAAATGTATACACTAATGGTTTCTGTTATTTGTTGATATTCATTTAAAAATTATCGCTGAGACTTGTAATAGAATACTTTCATTAGCAATTTCTAAATGCGGTTTTAGGTTTGGGAAATCAAAAATGCTCGAAAATTTAACATGAAGTTTATCATATATTTTACTAAATAGTAAAAAGTAAAAATATAATGGAATATTTTTTTTTATAAGTATTTAACAAGTTAACCTTCAAATTTTGATGAAAATCTTAAAAATCACACAATTTCAATCGAATTTAGTTAAAAATCATTTTTATTAGCAGACTTATCATTGTGTACAAATATTGAAATTTAAATTTCTCAATTTATTCTATCTTCTTAACAACCAACTTCTCGCCCACAAAAGTGGCATATCCATCAACAAAAACTATCGCCTCTATTTTTTTTTTTTTTTTTTTTTTTTTTTACTTTTGTTATGTACAGAAAAGGCTAATATTTAAGAAATAATGGGGGAAGGATGTACCATAAAACCATCTAATAATAAATCCTTATAAATTAAAATATTATGTAGGTCGTAGGTATTTCAAAAGATTTTTAATAGTTAAATAGGTTCAAGAAATTATTTATATGTATTTCAATTTTAACCTACTTAAATACTGTAGCGAGACTACTCAAACATCAGTTCTCAATAGATTTTTCACTTTTTCATATTTCCATATATTATTTAATGTAGTGTTCACACAAATAAATACCGATTCAATCTTTGAACCACAATATTTTACTATTTAATAAATTGAATTATTCATGAAATTATATTGATCAATTATATAGATAACATTATTATTTACTGTTATAAGGAACTGATGAACTTTTTAATGTCCATTTCATCAATATCAATTTTTGTAGGGTTATTTTTATCTTTAATTGTTGTTCTGATCATCTAAGGTGTGCATCATTAACATTTTTTTTTGAAACAGGGGATTTTGATGGAATATCACATATTAAAACCATTTTTGACAAATTGCATATTTTTCAAATTTTAAATGTACATACTAATTATACAAAAAAATATGGTCTACTGTTCTAGAATATTTAAATGTGCTTAACCAATGTAAGTATAGTTATAATTTTATAGTATTTTGCATTTTAAAGTATAGTACAAACAAATCAATACATATAATTAAATAGATATATGATATTTATATCAAATTAAAATAAAAATCAAGTACTTACCTATATTCTTGGTATATGTTATAATAAAATATGTACCAACCTATTGCATATTCTTTAACTTTTAAGAAGGTACATAAAATAATTTAAAAAATACAATACATTACCTTCAAAAGTGAAAATAAAAGGCATCTGTATTTTGTTGTTGCCATTACTTGTCTTGTTTTTACTAAAATTCTTAACTTTTAGAGATGTATTCAATATTTAGTGTACGTATAAATACATAATAATGTTTCAATAGAATAGTATGTACGTACTACAGTAATATATTCCTGTACAAAACTATGTTAATATTTACACAAATCGACAAATATAAACAACAAATAAAAGTATAATTAAATCACATATTGGCGTCATTCAATGACTTGATTTGATATTAACAAACAACAAAAATACAGTTTATAATAAAAATAAAAAGGTATTCACCATTTTTAACAACATGACATAGTTTTATGATATTAAATACAAAATAAAAATTATAACAGAGAAAATAATTCGGTTTTTGTTAAATATAAGTACTACAAATATCTAAATAATCAAATATTCAGACTTATTAAATTAATATTATTTAACAACTTCATAAATATATACTAATAGTTATATCATGATTTAATAAGTTCATAAATATATTAAATTTGCTATTCTTTTTAATTGATTATGAGTCTAAAATATACTTCGGTATTTAAAATATATAAAGTAAATAAATATACATGCAATGTACAGCAGTCGCGTTTTACATTTTGACTATCATATAATTGACGATGGATTTTTAATTTGAAACCAGTCATAAGATACACTTATCATAAAACTCCAGGCAATGCATTTATTTATTTTATTTTTATACATATATTTTATGTATATTTATTTACTTTATTTATTTACGAGTATTAACCATTTTAATAATTTTGTGTTTACTTTATTATTTTATTATTTAAAATATGTACAGTAATAAATATAATTACATGTATCACATATCACAAAAATTAAAAAATAAATCTAATTTTTAGAAATTTTCTAAATTCAAAATAAAATACCCAACCATACAATAATTTTAAATAATTCCAAAAACTAGTGAAAATTAAATTAATCCCCTAATTTTTGTTTAAATTTCCTAATCTAATAACAAATATTTGTTCACTATTACCTAAATTTATTTTCTAATATTGTTTCTTATAAATATTTTCTAATAATACTTGTTTTGATATTTCACTTTAAAAATTATGGAATTGAATTATTTAACTTTCAAATGAGAACAATTAATTGGACTAGAGTGAAAGTAACCAACAGTATAAATATATATATATATATATATCAATAATTTTGTAGCACTATATTATAAATAACATACTTAATTCATTAGATTAATTTTCTATGACAAACAGCACATTGAATGTTATCAGTTTGTTGGCGAACACACACAGTATGAAAAGAGTGACCACATTTAAATGACACAAGTCCATTATTCTTGCCTCGAATTAAAGGATCAGAGTTCAATGGTAATGAGCACCAAATACAATAACCATTCTTAAAATCTATTTTTGTACCCCAGTGCGATTTATTAGAATACAGATTTTTAAATTCAATAGTTGTACCCAATTCTTCTTCCAAAACAGTTAAAATATTCTCACAGCTCTATAAACCAAAAATAAAATATATATATATATACAAATTAAATGTACGTACATAAAATATTTATTGACAAATTATAATCCTTACTTTTATATTCATCATTGATATATTATTATGATGTTTGAGAGTTTGTATCACAATTTTTTTTGAATTTAAACCTGCCAACTGTGTTAATACAAAGCTCTGATAAAACCTAAAATATAAATATCAGTTTGTTAATTTTAATTTAAAAACTCTACTAAAATCTGTATCAGAAAATAATTACCAACTATCAATATCTCCTCGTGGTATATTATTTCTATGTTTGTGCATCAAATGTTTCATTTCTTCTGGACTTAAATATTGAAATGCCAATGCAGCTAAATCAGTCCATGTAATCCCTTGATTTTTTCCACTAACATTACCACAGTTTAAACAAAGACCATTCTTAAAGTAATGATTTAATGTAAAGATTTTATCAAATAATTTTTCACTTTTGTTATTCAAATAAACATCCAATTGATCCACCAAACCCAAATGAATCGAAAGAATAATTTTTGTATACTTAGAACTATTCAATTGTATAGTGGATTCTAGAACTAATTGCCATAAATGAGGTACTTGTTTACAAAAACATTTAATAACATCGTCTAGAGAATTTGTGGAAGAATCACACGTTGAAAATGTATGTAAAATTACATGTAACTGCTCCAAATCAATATTGACAGTAGATAAATATTCAATAAGTATTTTCCCAAGCTTTTTGAATTTACCATTGATATTGCTCAAAGGAAATCCACATTTACATAAATTCTTAGTCTCATTATGGTTTAATGCGACAAAACTATAAACAGCATAATAAAGAACATTAAAATCGTTGAAATAGTTTTCATTTAAATGTGATAAATAGGATAAAAAAATTGTATTGCACTTTTTTTGATTGCTGGACTTTAAATGAACAGAAAACTTCATTAATAAATAAAATACAAATATTGGTTTGATGTTTCTTTTGTATCCAAGTGTACGGAATGATTCAATTTGGTCCAATTTCAAAAATACATACATAGAGTTCAAGTACATTAATAATGGTACAGTTTTTTCATCATTATTGCAGCTCATTTCCAAGATTGTACAAAATATTGCATAAGAACATTTCAAGTTATCATTTAACAAAAAATTGAATATACCACTTAGTTCCATAATTTGACTAAATAGTGTTATAAACTCCCCGAGTTTAATATCTTTTTTAAAATCATTTTCGGTTAAATAGTACAACAGAAATTCTGGATAATCAAATTGATTAACAATCAAAGTATCTTCAGCATATATATCAGCCCATTTTAATACTAAATTGCTTATGAAACTATCATTAACTGCTTTCTTAATGGTGTTCAAATGCTTTTCTTTCAAATATTGTCTGAATGGAAAACTTTTATGTTTTACTTGTAAAATACTTTCTAAATTAGATTTCACTTCTCTTACACCACTAACTAAGCTTTGTAAACAGTCAATATCAAATTCATGATTGCTTTGTAATTTTTCATAAATTTTTAAAATTGGTAATAAATTGAGTTTTTCACGATGTTCAAGATCCAATTTATAGTTTGGAAAATCTACTTCATTCTCATTAATGGGTTGTGGTTCAGACCGTCTAGTTATATCTGATACATCATAAGGTACTAAATCATTTTTACTAGTAGTTGTAGTTAAATTATTTAGTGTATCTTTAAGAGTTTTACTACTTTTCACAATTTGATTGGTAACATTTGAACCTATTTCCATAAGAGTATCGTGAAAGGCATCAGAAGTAGCTAGTGACACAAAGGGAATTGAAGAAATATTTAATTCCATATATAACTGATCAAAAATATGTTTATCTGTAAATTTGGAATAATCACTATGCGGATACTGTTCAGACTTTTTAATTGTATTAAAATCTAAGTGTATGTTCACCATTGACTTGGAACGCTTTATTGATTTATTTGATTTAATAGAAAATAAACTGTGGCTTCTTTGTAATGTTTGTTTTTTTTTAACATATACATAATTTGTCAACGAATAAATTCCTGATGGTAATTTAAAAAAAGTCTGTTTTAAATAGTTAATTTTTTTTATTTTTGTGATCAAACTGTTTGTATTAACTGGCAGCTCAATTTTTGTACTTATATCAGCTAGTGGGTATAGCTCATCAATAATAGATTTTTTTTCTATTATTCTATCATAATAATGTTCAATCAATGTAATACATTTTCTGTAATCATTACTTTCATAACAATTGACCAAAAAATTCTGAAGAGGAATAATCTGTTCAACAATCAACTGACCATTTGAAGACCATATATATAAAGTGTCATTAATGTGCTTGACATTTTGTACATTGTTATATCTATTACACCATAAAAGGACATTTATTTTCAACATATCAAAAATAAATATACTATTTGATGTATATGTAAGTAAACAATTTTCCCAAATTTTATACAACTTTTTAAAATTAAGAGATTGTGGTGGCCAATTTTTATCAGAAACTTGTGACAACTCAATCGGTTCTTGTCCACAAATATTAAGTGTTGGAGGAATTGCTAGACAGTACTTAAGTTGATGTGTGCTTTTTACTACACCATTCAACTCAACTTCCCAAATTCTAGAACCTGGGCGTGCTGAAAATATTTTTCTTTCATTCCATGCAACAATACAACAACCGTAATCACCATCCCTAGGTTTTTGTCCAATTTGTTTAAACTGCTCTTTATACATATCACAGACGTAACATCTGGTCAATGTTGAGATCACTAATATGTCATCGGAGCTATCTATTTGAATTACTTTTGAATCCAATTCAATCATGGTATATGGTGGAGTTTGGAAAATAGCTTTTCGCTGTAAAATATTAAATATGTAAATTAAGCATGCTATTAAATTATATGTTAAAATTTATTAAGCATGCTAAAAATATGAATTTAAACTCACAACAAACAATGATACATAAATTGATGTAACTTTTCCATTGCAATCGCCAAAATATAGCTGATTCTTTGATGTCCATTCCATAGCAGTGATTTCATATCCTAAGTGTTCGGTAGATTTATTTAACAGCTTTGCACCAATACCGTTTTCATTTCTCTGTAAAATGCATACAATGCCCTTTTGTGTACCAAACGCAATCAGATCTTCATCTTTAGAAACTACAATTTGTGTCACAGATCCTTCCTGTTAATACCAAACATAATTTTGTGTAGAAAAATTATGAAATGTATAAATTTTAAACATCAAAAAAATTATTAATGGAATAAATTTGAAATATAGATCTCAATAAATATTTTTATAATCTTTATGAAATTATAAAACACAAATGTTTCAACCAATGTTCTTTTGCTACTTTTCGGATTAAAAGTAAAGGTACTAATTAAATTTTTATAATTTTAAAATCTAAAGCCATAGTAAATCATTATATTTGGAATAGATTTTGTTAGAATCTAAATGTACGTCCTAATAATTTGTGAGTTATTTATAATTTTTCAAGTCATCAAACTGGTAAATTTTAAAAAAAATTGCTTAACAAAACTTGTTGATTACATACCCTCCTCACCCCACAAAAGAAAAAAAAAATCATACTATATCATTATAATAAATACAAATAAACAATTCATATTTTTATGAAACTTGAAAATCATGAAGTGGCCACATAATTGAGTAGGAATTGAGATTAAATTAAATTTTAAATCCCAACATTTTTGCAAGTTTCTACCAGCATTAAAAAATAACTGAACTTTAAGTACAAAACCAACAGTATTCAATCTGAATTAAAACAAATGATAATCTTACAATTAAACAAATAGTTATTTATTACTTACTTGATGAACAAATTGAAAATAACAAAACTTTTGAATAAGGAAAAGAGAAGTCAATTCATTTAATAATTCAATTGAGTATAACATAAATTTTTTAATTTATAGTCCATATTTATAAAAATTAAGAAAGAAAAACACCCATTTTAAATTTAAAATGGTCCGTGGTATAGTATGGTAAAAATAAACTTATGATGTAAGTATATCAAGTACGACAAATAAAATATACATACTACTTTAGATGTATTTTATAATTATATTAATACTCACTTTATTTGGAAGTAATTGTAAAAATTCACAAGGTTGTCTACGAAATACATATAATCCACCACTGGATGCACCAAAAATGATAAAGTTTTGTGATACTTCAACGCATGTATACTAAAAATAGTAGATTATTAGACAATTAAGTACAAAATATTTATATGAAAATTTATATTTCTTACTTTTATTCTTTGAGTAGCTTTCAAGGGTAAATTAAATATATTTGTAACATCGATTCTGTTTAACACTAAAATATGGTCTGACAAGTTTCGATTATTATTTATGTTGTCTTGTAAAACCGCCATCCTGCAGTTAATACAAATCACTCGATTGACGATAAAACGATAATAAAATTTGTTAGGTCATTCATATATATATTGTATAAAAAACTAAGAACTATAACTTAATAGTTCATAATATGCCTACCCAAAAAATAAAAAACATTCAAAAATTTATTTTGTGGTTATCAATCTTGTCAGTTTTGTTATGCTTGTTTTGTAAACATAGATAATAAACATGGGCGAATACAGTTCGGGGCATTTGTTGAACTATGATAAGAGCCGAACACGAACAACTTTCTGTACCGCACCTGCAGTGTACGTATTCTAATTAGATTAATTTCTTCCAAGGCCTCAGACAAAGTAGTTTTACAAAATTAAATTCTGGTATAGAAATATTAGAAATTACGCTATGGGCCCGTTATTATGTATTCATCCTTATCATTTTATATCGAAAACCGCTGAATTACATAAGATAATTATGCAGCTAAACTCAGAAATAACCCACCGTTACTCATGAACAAAGTTAGTATGCGTTATAATAAAATACACACTCTTGCAGGACCGTATACAGGACGAGGGGAAGGGGTTTTCAACCCCCCCCCGAAAATTAATAGTTATGTAATTTATTTATAAAAATTTAATTTTTTTTTGATTCTGAGTGGAGTGAAGAAACTTACGGTTTTACAAAGATGTTTATTTTTTTTTTTTTGTACCTGTTAAAAACTTTTCTACCAGCAATTTTACTCCAGCCTATGATGATATCAATGTTGCTAAACGGATTTTTCACTAGGGAGGTACTTTTTCGATTTTCTCAGGACTTTTCCCAGCAAATATGAAAAACCGGAAAAGACTTAAGAAAATCTGTACAACAAAAGACAAATATTAAAGAAAATATACAAAGCCTTTTAAATTATTTCACTATAATATGACACATATGTTGTTGACAAAGCATCACTATCAACTTAACTCCGCTCAGAATCGTTTTTTTGTAAACAATGGTTTATCGTTGGTAAGTTCATCGAATTCACGGACGTCAAAAACACTGATCGACCGCATGGTAGTTAATCGCGTTTTTAAAAATGTTCCGGTGAGTAGCGACGGACCTCACCTATATTTTCAGAAAACTTATAAAACTCCGCGTCTGGTGGTGGTATTTAAAAGTACACATTCTTGGTCTACTATCACTATGATACGTTGGTATGTCGATATTTATTTGTTCGTACTGTGACAAAAATATCTATCAGAAATCATTCTTTGATGTGTACGGTAATTTTGCCTAAATATGGTACTTTGGGAGGTTTTTTTTTTTTTATTTTCCAAGCAATTTTAATAATTTTCATGAAAACCCGGAAGAAAACTTAAGGAAAACGGGAAATTTACGAAAATAACGATTTTTATTATTTTCAATTGTGTAATTGAGTTTGTAATTCAGTTAAAAAAATTCATCGATAATTGAAATTCGCGCAGAAAACTTATATTCGCTTTTTACGCGGTAAAAGTGCAAAAACATTTGAGCCACATTTAATCCATTTATGGACACTTTATAGTTATGTTTATTGGATAGGTACTCTGTGGATAAAATTGTTAAGACAAAACAGAAATGCTTGAAAATCGAACAGGAAGTTGATTTTACCGTGTCGTACTTTATGGTCAAAACAAAAAAAATTTAATTTAATTTAATATCAAATTTTGACGAAAATCGTTTTTGTAAAAAATGATATGGAACAATTTATCTAGGTACTAACACACACAAATTGTTTCAACATGATATGTATTTTACTTAAATATAACATACGAGTGCTAATCGAAAAGTATTGACACTGATAATATTACTCGGAAACCGAGTGTTTAAGTGCAAAATGATTTGTAAACCTGGCTCTTATGACTTCTACTGAGCACATCTTTTCTTGTAGACATTTTTTTTAACAGTTTTTCAATTGAACTTTAATGGCATAAACTATGACATATTGCATCTCTCTGAAACCGAAAAAAAAACGCAGACAAATTTTCTAAAATCACTAAAACTGTCGAGTCGCTGTTTTTTTGGATTCGGAAAGTATTTTGTCGGAATCGTATATTTTGTCAGAAAAATATTTCGTCCGAAAGATTTGGCCGGAGAGTTTTCTCTTGAAAAATAATTAGTCGGAACCGCATTTTGTCGTAAGATAATTTTTACCCAACGATAACATGATAACGGAATCGTGGAGTGTTTATGATGAAATTGTATTGAACGGTTCCGACAAAATATTTCTTCAACAAAATACGGTTTCCTGCTCCTAGTTCCGGTTACCGGGGGAAAACCCGGGCGACAGCCGAGGACGATCGGCAAGTTCTAGAAACGTTATTGCCCAAGAAATCCCAACAATCGACGATTACAGCTCCTCTAGCTCCTCAGCCTCTTCTTGGACCTCTCAGAATTTACAATAGAATTCCCCCGTTGGTGTCTAGCATAGATAATGTATAATACACCAATATCAATGTTTCTAGTCAGATATTCTCTATTCAAAACTGTGCGTGTCAATAGGCCGTGGGGGGGGGCGTTCCTATTTGAAAATCAAAAGTATGCACTCGTTTAAGGTATGTGGAATAGGGGTAAATGATTAAAAATGGTTTCAAAACGAAGCTTAAACGATTCCACGGTCAGAAAAAACAGAAATAAAATTCACTTAAAATCCTCCGGGATAATTGCTGATTCGTCATTAAAAAAAAAAAATCACCTTCCATATTATTGCAAACTCGATCGTGAGTTATTTTTAAACTGCGTCTCCCAATAATTTTCGGCCGATAAAATGTCCATCGATCATTGCGCTTTCGATTTGCCAGAATTGGTGTACAACGCGACGGCGCAAAATATTCCACATACAATAACTAGGGTTCGGATGTTTATGCATTAAAAATAATTGTAATACGTACGCATTTATGCATTAACAATCGTAAAATACACATCTTTAGTTATAGAAAAAAAAAAAAAAAAAAAACCACCAAAATATGCGCAATATTTATTTCGCCTCTGGTATTTTTAATTTTTGTTAGTAATCATTTTTAAGGAATTTTTTTTTTTTTTTTTAATATTTCATATTAATCCACACGGAAAGTGGCGACGGTGGTTTACCTACCACAGCGCGATACATTAATAAATGTCCAAGTTCGACCGAATTTCAAAATGCAATTCATCAGCAGGTACCGAGAAATTTTACCTCGGATTAGAATTGCACACGGCTCGTAGATCAATAATAATTATTACTCCGAGTCACGACTACTACGGATACACCGGTAGCCGTCACTGCTACCGCGCGCCGGGATATGTCTTAGGGTAGCACGTAATCTGTGTTGACGTATTAACCGCGGATAACGATCCGTATCCATATGTCCGGTATTGATGTAAATCATAATGACGTGTCGTCCATGACCACGAACACAATGTAATAGGTAGACACGGGTAGTCTATTTTACGGCGGCCGCGCCGAAGTGCACAGCAATAATTTATTATTACGCCTCGTAGGTGCTAAATACACACGAGACACGACAGTGACAACAGAGAAAATACCTAATGACAATTTTTGCACGAATCACATTTGCATTAGATCAGTTATGAAATTTAAAAACGGTCGAAATACTGGAACGGAGGAAATATTTACATTTACAACGGGATATTTAGATTGTCGAACTTTATTATTCGTCTCTCTTCGAAACGCAGTTCGTAAATCATCAGCATTTTTGTTTTTCACAAATGCTTCATTTCGCGTGTTCAATTTTTCTTTTGGAAAATCAATCGAGTTCTTGAGTACTTAAATCACTTTTCCTGTCTCGTAGAAGTTTGGCGGCGTATAGGATATAGACGGTAATTTAACGTATATCAGTACGCAACGATTGGCCGTTTGCTAACGAACAAACGATTCTCAGCGGCGTACGGTTGAATGTTGCTTTGTCAACAACATATAATATGTTACATTGTTAAGGTGAATGTTGTTTTTTTTTTTTTTAAATTTGAAACGGTTTTGCGTGTAATTAGTTTTAACATTAGGGTGTATTTGTCCATGATTAGACCTAAATATAAGAACGTTGTCTAGATTTATACCTACGTTAGTTTTTTCTCGATATTTTAATTTTCAAGAGTCACAAATATATCGAATATTAGATTTTTATAATTGCCCTATCTCACTGGGAAATTGAAATATATATATATAAAAAAAAAACCCAATGTATAAAAACAAACAATATTTTCACCTTTAAGTTTGATAATAGGCCAATAAACTCTAATAATCTAATTAATGACAGAAAATAGATTATTATATAAATACAATAACATTAACCCAATTTCACAACATTTACAATAATAAAATGTATGGTAAAATAATTACATAGGTATGGGTTAAACATTTTCAATAATATTTATTTAATATTGTACCTATAATCTAATGACTTTCCTAGAGGATCCCCCCCCACCACCAATCAGATTTCCTTTCAGAAAAAGTGCTATCGTTGTTCATCAGAGCAAAATTACGGGTAAAAGTTGTTCATAAATAAAAAAATAAACATCATCTTAAACCAATGCACATTCCTTGGTCTAATCAGAATCTAAAATGTAATTAGTTGTTTATTTTGCATTTAATATTAAAAATGATATGTTATTAATAAGAAGCAGCTAAAAGCGTTTATCACGTTTGTTTTGATGATACGGACGACACACACACAAAATTGCATTTACAATCAACAAGTTGGTCACCCAATAGCACACACACAAATACGTCACATTGACAAAAATAGATAGTCCAACGTGATCAAGCCATGTTTGTGGACAAATAAATTTCATGTATGATTATATTATATTATATTTAAAAGCAACATTGTGATTTTACTTCATTAAATTTCATAATATAAAAATTATAGTTGAATAATTTATAATTGAAAATGTGTAGTTACTTTATAGTTTATATCGAACTAGACTCCTGGATAACAACTGCTTACTAGTATTGTTTGGCACAATTTGTATTTTTTAATTTGATAACATTATAAATTAAAACCAATAACAATTCAGTTTGTTTTCATTTTTAATTGAAAAAATGAATACTATTGTACAAAATAATTCAAAATTGAACAGTATAGGAATTTATCATTTACTGTGTTCACATTTTGTTACTTAAAAATTATAAGATATAATAAGTAATCAATCATGTTTTGTTTCATTAATCATATTTAATGAAACAGTTAATTATTATTATTAACTCAATAATGCTAAGTAATCAGGAAAAAATGAATAACCTAAAATAAAAAAGTGTAAAAAAATAAAAAAGTTATTTACAATACATTATTTACAAACGGAAAAAGTTTGACAAATATTGCAACATGGCCAAGACAAAAAGAAAAAAATGTAAAAAAAAAAAAAAAAAAACATTTTCTTCTTGTAATTATATATTTTCATTTAGGATTTTATTTTATTTTTATTGAAAAAAGCACACAACTTATTTATATTTGATTATTATAAGAAAAAAATAAATGAAATAAACTTAATTCTAATACGGCCTAATGAACAGATATTTAGCAAAAGGGACCACATTAAATTATGCTCAAAACCATTAGGATATAGACGACTTTAATTTATGTAAAAACCAAGTCTTGAGAATATAACACTTGAAAATGTGGTAACACAGGAAGATACACCAATTTTTTTTTTTTTTTGGAGTATATTATTATATAGACAGATATATATCAAAAATCAAACAAAAATTTATCAATCAAAAATAAAAATAAATAATTTTATGCTAAGAATTTACTCAACACAAAAACATGGAAATAGTAAGTCTATAACCATACAGTTTGGACATATGATGAAGTAAATGTAGAATAATCACGAAGCCAGAATGGACTAAGTAGAAGCCAGAATTGTAATGAGTTTATACAAAATTATTCAACAACAAAATACACATATTCAACATATTAGGGAAACTCGAAAGTTACAGAAAATGTCAAGGATGATAAAGGATTGAATTTGAAATTGATTTTATAGCCACCAACTTCAAAATAATATCCTGCAGTAGGTTACTAAAATGATGTACAAAAAATTATAAATATTTATTTACACCATTATGAGACCTTCATATTTGACCTGTTCAGTTAGGCTTATCATTTTGTTATAAATTATAACCAACTATTGTATATAATATAACATATAATAATGCTTTATGTTTTTATGGTAGTAAATATTAAATACATATACAGAAATGGTGAAAATTGAATAATAACACAGTCTTTATGTGTCAGCCAACATTATTCGTCAAATGTTATACTTGCGTCTTGAATTCAGTAAGGCGCATGCCGAGGATATGTTGTCTCTCGATATTTGCCACCTCCATAGGCTTGTGCTGAATAACCACCACCCCCATAACCAATTGCGGAGTAATCATATCCTCCATATGCACCGTATGCATCATATGCATTAGCAGCATAACCATAGTCAGCAGCAGCGCCATAAGGTGCAGCTGCAGCTGGTGCCATATAACCAGGATAAGTTGGTCTCATCCCAAAAGTAGCAGGAGCCCTAGTGTTGACTGGTCCACCTGTTCTGGTACCTGGAGCGGCCATTGTTTCAGGATTGAACTTTACTTTTTTTACATCTACTTCTTTGCCATTAATCACTTGTTTAGGATTTTTCAATACTTGATGGACAACTTCAGAATCTTCAAATGTTATGAAACAGAAACCTTTTTTTTGATTTTTCATTTTATCAAATGGTTGTTGATACTCGGATATTTGACCAAATTGAACAAAATAATTTCGTACATCTTGCTCTGTCATTTCAGATGTTAAGCCACCAACAAAAATTTTACAACGCAAAGGGTTAATTTTCTTTGTAACCTAAAACAAAATGCAATTACTTATAAATACATTTAAAATAAATAAAATTCAAAAATTTAAAATTATAAAATAATATAAGAATAAACATTTTAAAATTATATTATCAGTTGATATAAAATAATTTTTTTGGAAAGACTAAATTATATTATTATTAAAGAATGTGCTATTTAAAATTGATATATAAATATACTAGTTAAGATATCTGAAACAAATGATTTTTAGTTTCTAATTTTTAAATTTTCTTTTAACTTTATATATCATAACTATTAAGAAATTAAAATATGAAAAAACTTTCGTAAGACCTAATATAAATACTACCTATTCTTTATAATAAGTTTATTTTACTCTAAACACAACTAGAAAGTTACAATCATAGAAATAAGGGATACCTACATTATGTGTGAGACAGACAGAGAAAATATGTCAGTGACAAGGTTCCTTGAACATACAACACTGTATTATATATTTAACACATACTATTAAGTTGCATTATATTATTATATAGTTAAGGAAATTTTAAAACAAATTTAAAAGATACCAACTTAAACAATCTAAAGAATGTAAAATGATAGAAAGATATTTACTAATATTAAGTAGGTGTTAATATAATATAAATTATAAGTACTTTGTGTAAAAATAATTTTTATTATAAAATATATTTAGTTATGATATTTAAGATATTCAATTTAATACAATATGATAACAAATATTAACAATTTTTAATTAGTTCAAAAATATACATCTTTTTTAATCAAGAATACTTGTGATAAAAATTATTCATACATACATAGTATATATAAATGAATTGGCATGGTTCGGTAAAAAAAAAATATATTGTATTTTCAACCAAAAAAAAAAAAAAAAATCGCTAAAATTTTTGGAGGTTATGTTAATAAAAGAGACTTCTTTTTGATTTTCTGAACTCCATAGATTTTTTTTTATCAAAATATACAAATTAAATTCAAATATAAATATTTTTAGTTCTTATCCTTGTGAATAATGTATGAGTACAAACTTGTTTAATCTTTATAATCTCAAGAGATATTACAATGCGTATATTTTTGTAGGATACCGTAGAATTGTACCAGATATAAACCTTGACTGACAAAAATTATTTAACAATGACTACCATTTATTAAATTATTACAAAATAATTCTGACCATAAATATAATACACATCTATCTTTATAACATGTATGGTAATAAAACATTTTAATCAATAACTTAGTACCTACATACAGGGACGAATTCACCTTTCGGGAAATTAATTTGAACCGGTTCATAGCCCATAGGACAGTTTGATTCGTATTTCCCAAGCCGAAAAAAATTAGGAACAAAACTACTTTACTGGGCACCTTTATTTTTTTTTTTATTTTTAAAAACATGCATTTTTTGATGCTGATTCTGAAAAAGTTTGAATTTTTTGAAGTTTGTCAGATTCACTTAAATACAATGTAGGGTAAATAACAAGGAAAAAAAAGTGAGAACATACAGTTTGTTCAATTTGTAGGTATCAGACCCTAATAGAACTTTCTACGTAATCTATTACGGCGCAAAAATAGCTTTATAAGCAAAACTTCAAATGGTTATATAATAATACTATAATAATGATTTCTGCAAAAAAAAAAATTCAAATATTTTCAAAACCAGTGTTAAATACATACTTATTGAAAAAAAAAAAAATAGAAAAATAAAAAGGGTCAGGTATAGTTTTATACCAACCATAATATAAATTAATTCCTTAGGTTGAAAATAATTTTTTTTCTTTAGTCTTTTTTCCAGAACACATAAGATATAGAGGACATAAATCATTTGCGCAACACTATTGTTCTTTTCGACCTTTTTTATAAGACATTTGCGCATTGTTAATTGGTTGGGTGATACATCATTTGCACATCAACAAAATGTTTGACAATAGAGAAGCTGAGAATGATTAGGATTACCCAAAATCACAAATTGTTTACTAACTTACATCTTAATATTCAGTATTAATAATATTTAAATCTATTAAATACTAAAACTAATTTTCAAATAAAGATATTATATTACATATAAAAAGTATAATATATTTCTGTTTTAAAAATATAATATACATATAACTATTATGATGATAATCGCGTGTAAGTTGTAACAACAAACCAATCCAACCAGATATTGTCAAATAATATAACTAGAGATATCTAGGTGACATGACTATTAGCAGTTGGTGTTTAACTTTAAGGTTTGTGTTAAATGTTGAAATTTGTAAACTCAAACCGTGGGAAAGCTGCCATCGTTTTTAAAAATTATACATGTATGAAAAGAAAAACATTAACATATAAGTGTCCAAATAAAAATTGTTATGCTATGCAACATTGTATCATTGTTTTTTTTTTTTTTTAATCAACCTATTATAAATGGATGGTGCACAAATGATGACCACCAGGTATAGACGCGTAAAACTTACCCTTTTGGGATCTACTTTTTTATTGGCAATGAAATGATCACCAGCGGCTAGCAAATCATCCACAGTTTTAGAATTAACAAACTGTACAAATGCAAACCCTCTGGATTGTCCGGAGAATGGGTCAGTTTTGATGTTAATGTTTTCAATCTCGCCATACTGTGTGAAATATTCGCGTAATTCTTTTTCACTGATTGTCCGGCCAAGGCCGCCGACAAATAACTTTTTATCGTCATCACGACCGGGACCGGTGGACCGTCCGTTAGCATTCGGTTGTTGAGCCATGTCTTCCTGAAATTCACACGGTATACACAACTCGGATATATTAAATAGACTGACAGTATTGTGGCGGCGTCTAAGCGCTTTGCGATTTCGGACGCGGGAACGCGCTCAGGTGAATAACCACCGGCAGATTATGATTTTATCACCACATTCTTCACAAAATTGGAAATATGTATTTTAGATAGGTACTCACCAGTTTCGCTAAGCTATCGGCAACAGCCGCGGTCCGAGTATGTAAGTCTGTACGGCAAGCGGTAGCTGTTTTGCCGTTACCGGCAAGAAAGACGGGACAAAAATGTGTGCGTGGTAATATTTTTGAGACACGGAGTTATTGAAATGAATTTACAGTTATTTACACGCCAAACGCACACATAAGCCGACGCTAAAAGATGCGGACAGCGAACGCCATTTATCTCTCTCTCCAACCGGGTTTGTTGTCGGCTTGTTGCCAACGGGAGAAAAAGAGAACAAACAAAATGGAGGGAATGGATCAGTGCCGCCAACTGGTCGGACTGTCGATGTCACGTTTGGCGGCAAACCGCTGTAAAAGATTAACAAAAAAAAAAAAAAAAAAACAAACTAGAATGTACAGATTATTGTGATATTTGATATTACGTTTTTTTAACAGGAGCGTGTGACTGTTCAATTGCTATAATACGCTGTACGCAATTACTCACTATTCAAATAACCGAATACTTTTAATAATAATTAATATTTTGGTGAAGCACCCGCCTAACCTTATTCAATAGCTAAAAAAAATTGTTTGAAATTGTTTAAAGACCATAGTTGCATATTTTTAAAGTAGGTTTAAGTACCTTTATATTTATAATATATCAAAGGCTAACTACAAGTTCATGTATTAAAAATATTTTAACTCTCCCCCCCCTTCTCCCCGAAAATTGATCCTGTAAATGTACTTGTGTCATGTCACTAACTTTCAAATTAATATTAGATATATTATGGTCATAGGTACCGGAAACTTTTCGTCGTATTATAGGAAATTTACCACTGGTACAATTTTAACACGAACATTGCCTCTCCCCTGGTATTTTTTAAAAAACTATTTGAGTATTAAAGTATTTAGTTTATGTTTTAATCTTCTATATCCATAAAAAAGTATGTATTTCAATGAAATTTTGGAGAGTTGTTGAGTAGGTACACTCACGTGAAGTTTTCTGGCATAGTTTTAACAAAAATAAATAAAAAAGAGCTGATACTGGAGACGGATGCGGCCATTGCTGTAGATGTTTAGTTGGGAAGTTAGGATACATAAAGCTATTTTATTATACTTGTAACCAACCAATGTTAAACCATTGATAACGTCTCGGTAACAGCATTGGTATTGTTGATAAACAATTCAGAGTGAAGTTTGGTTATACATGTTTTGAAAAGCCGTAATATTTATTATTTACGTTAAAATTTAATTTTTTAAACTCTTATAAAAAAAAACTCAGAAACGGCTCAACATTTTTTGAAAATTTTACCACGTTTAGAAAAAACAAATATAAGTTTTCTGCCGAACTTCAAATATCTAAGAATATTTTTAACTGAATTACATCAAAGAAACAAAATTTAAAACAATAAAAACATCATTTTCGTAAATTATCCCGTTTTTTCTGCGTCGGCTTTTCTTAATAATTATTACAAAAACTACCAAGAAAATGAAAAAATCACTCTTTATATTCCCAAACTAAATTAAAAACGCAACAAAGAAGGTCTCTGTCGTTTTTCTATTGGAGCAATATTTACGGTAGAAAACATAAGCCGTAAAATTTTAAAATAATGAAATCATTGTGCTGTAATTTTTTTTACGAAAAATACTTTTGATATTAAAAACCGACCTCTTTAATGCTGGTAACAAGACAACATTTCCTTTCAGAAAAGATACTATACTTGGTACATCGGAACAAGATTTCTTTTCGAAAAGTTGTTTACAGATAGAATAATAAAAAAAAAAAAAAGAACTGATATTGGGGATGGGAGCGGCCATTGTTTTAAGTGAGAAGTTGGTTGGATAAGATATATAAGGTTATTTCATATAATTTCCCAAAAATTAAAATTCCTCAAAAGCTCAACAGTGTTGACGATGATACTTTAAGAAAATAAATCAAATAGGCAACAAAAGGTGTCTTGTGATTTTTCGATTAAATTATTTTTTCATTAAAATGCTTTTATTTAAAAAAAAATGGTGTCGAAAATCAAAAAATGACCTCTCTAAAGTACCATCTAGACAACTCGAGCTTTCAGAAAAGTCGCTGCACGTAAAAATCGGAGCAAGTTTACTAGGGAAAAAACGTGTCCACAGACTAGAACAAAGAACAAAGAAAAAAAAAAATAAATAATAAACATCCTAGTAAAACAAAACAAAATTTATCTATGGTAACTACCAACTGTGTAGGTAATAATAATTGTAACAGTGAACGGGCTGTTTTTTCATAAGCACGGTAGTGTTTAACATAATATGAAATTATCATAGACGTGTAATATAATAGATTAGAAATGGTGGCTGTTTTACAAATAATACATTGAAGCTAACATATATGCGAGAGAGAGCGACTGTGTTGCGGTTTTATCTGTGGCTTTATATAAAAACTGTGCAGATTCTTTGGTTTTGCTTTAGATAAGACTACTGATAAGGAAACGAAACGCTATTAAATATCATGATTTTTGATACTTTAAATTTTAAATAAATTATTATAACACAAAATTTATTATGTATATATTACTATAATACTCTAAATTAAATTATTGTTGTTATTTTCACTGTGACGTAGGTTATATTTATACGACAGGTATATAACCTAAATCGATTATTACTCTAGAAACGAAGATTTTTTTGGTTAAACCATATGAAAGCTTAGTAACGAAAGTTAAAAAGTGTTTACACCAAATACCAAATACTGTGTGATCATTTCGAGCACTCCGTCAGTTTGTTACACTTTTCGTTTAAACGCGAATATGCGATTTTCCCGACATTTTTTACTATTGCCGTTTGTCCCAAGCACAGGCGTTTAATATATTATGCGTCTACGGTCTCCAGATTGGTATAATATTAGGCGGTGCAAGTTCGCCCAACGAGTGTAAACATTTAGTTGTACAACGCCATTGAAAAAATTGCAACAGAGCCTGTCTCTCTCGCACATATTTTGGCTTCAACAATGGGCGTTCATATTCCATTAGTCTCTTGCATTACACGTATACGGAAATTTTAACAGTCACCGCGTGAGGCACTTAATACCGATAAAAATGCAACATTTCGTTATGTATTTATCGAAATGGTATTCCGCAATGTCCGATTATTCATATTATATTATTGTAATTATTATTGAAACGTAATATTTGTAAAACTAAACCGATGTTTACGTAACAAGTGATATTAATGTACCCAGTCGCAATGTTTTACAATAATACCCATTGAAATTATAGCGGTGTATTATTAGAATTAGCGATGGGCGGTGGGCACTATCGAATAATTTATATTATCGTTAATATTGAATATTTCGTTGTAGTGATTTTTTCCGTAATCGAATTTATTAATTAATTAATTAATCTAAATATTACATAACCCACTTATATATAAACCGAACACCGTTGAAGCGATCAGGAATAAGATGCCACAATGGGAAGGGCACGCTTGGAGAAGCCAAAAACCCATTACTCCCGTGCAGCGTTAGAGAAGAACCCAACGGGAAAGAGACCCGTTGGAAGGCCGAGAACGAGATGGTGAAGATATAGCGAAGAAGGATGTGGAAGAGCTAGGAGGAACAGATTGGAAGGCACGAGCAACTGATCGGGATGGATGGGAAGGCTGGATGTATGACGGGATGGTCCTAGAGAACTCGATACCCGAAAAAAATTAAAAATATAACCGACTTAAAAATATCGAATATTTTGATGGTACCCATCACTAATTGTAATGTCTATAATAAACAGTGCTAAAATTTGTTGGTGCTCAGGTGGACTGAGCTCCTCTATTTTTTTTATTTGTTTGCGTGCCCCAACTATATTTTTCTACTGGAACGGGAGAACGGCACAAACTAATGTCCGAAATAATTTTTATTAAAATATGAATTTCAACTGTTGTTAATTATACAACGAATTTTACTATTTTTAAATTCAAAATTATTTTTGACGTTAGTTTGATGTCATCGTCTTTTCTATGGTCCAATATTTGTTTACCATATGCTAGGTATATCGAAATTTTATCACACGATACCGCATAGTTGAATTTATTTAACTTAACTTTTGACCATGTGGTTATCATAGAGTAATTACTCTATGGTGGTTACGTATATTGTCCGCAGAAAAGCGATAAGAAAATAATGATGAAATATTATCATCGGGGTACAGTATTCATATAATTTTTTATTTTCTACTGCAACACGTAGGATGTAGGCATTGATATCAAAATATATTTGGTGTATTAATATTCGTAGCTGAAAAGTGGTATTCAAAATGCTGGTAAGGCGAAAGCCCCTCACGGGTCTTTGTTAAGCGATTCGGAACGCCGCTTTTTACAAATCGTTGGATTGAGCTCCTCTGCTGAATTTTTCCCGGTCCGAGTACTGATAATGGTTACAGGTAGGCGTTGATTATCTAAAACGGTATCCGGTACCCCCCCCCCGCCCCCCGTCAATTGCTCTGAGGCGTATTACACGTACGTATGCTGTATACCTGTACACCTGTGGCGGTACCTATTGCATACAAGTATGTTATATTGCATCGGTTTACGTTGTGTGCGAAGCCCTCCGCGATAATTTTTGACCAAGTTTACAAGAAAATCGTAAAAAAATTAACAAATTAAAAAAAAAAAAAAACCATTACAGCCGTCAGCTTTCCGGTATTCCCTACGGGTTTTTCCCGATCGTTATCAAAAACCCGGTCGGGAAATCGAAACGCGACTTGTGCTTCCCGACCGATAAGATCCGACAAATGCACGACGTAAAACAGGTCTCGTTCAATTTCGATTGGCGGAAGATTTCCGGCGGAAAAGTTGTTTGCAGACGCGCGGACGCACGCCACACGGACGTAGGCGGAAAAAAAAAAAACCCCCCCGAACAGATCCCTCGACCATACCACGCCACCCCCCACCCACCACCATACGCTCACGATCTATGATTTAACGGTAATAATAATAATAAACAAATGAAATACGACGTTTACGTTACCTGTTCGGCCCATTATCACGGTTCGGTTTATCGATTGCGGCAATAAAACCGTACCGACTTGCATAACTATTGCATTACGACGAACAAAGATAACGCGTAACGAAATTGTAAGACAACCAAACGCCGCCTAACGCAGGCGGTCCGGCACCTGCGTAACAATTATCGTGTACCGTCGGGGAACACACACCCGTGCCCGATGATGACGACGATGATGCAACACTGGGTTAGCATTATCGAGCGTCGGAACATTTGTGTTTGTTCTGCGCTTGTTGTGTTTTATGTTATTATTTTTCTTTTTCTTTATTTTTTTCCGCCGTTTTTCCGCCGTCTACCGCGACTGTCGAGTCGATTTTCAGCGACGGCGGCTGGGCGGCGGGGAGGTGGGAGCGCAGTCGTCGGTTCGCCCGTTCACAATAACAAACTGTTCACGATTGCCGAATACCGGTCGGTCCCGCGTAATGTAAAATTATTTGTCGCGGGCGCCCCGTTGACGATCGGCGCACGGCCGCGATCGTTGCCGCGATCACGCGCGCACGCACAACAAATAATGCGTGCCCGGGGACCCGCGCGTAATATACGAGACGCGCGCACTACAGACGCGTACGCACGGTTTTTGTTTTCTCTTGTCCGGTATCGCGCAGTCACAATTAACCGCGTGTAAAACTGTTGGTTTGTTAACGACATAAAACGCGAAGGGAAAAAAAAAAAAAAATTAAAAAAAAAAAAATAAATAACTAAATTCGAATACAAATTTCACGTCGTGATTAGTAATATAACACCCGATAAACGTGACATGGTTATAATAATACTGTATACAGGTACACCTATGTATTATTATTATTATTATTATTATTATTATTATTGTTATTATTATGCATACTTATATTATCTGTAACGTATTACAAATACACATGTGTTATGATATTTCGTTTAGAATGAATCGAGAAAAATAAAAAAAAAAACGACACGGTAAAAAAACGTCAAATGCGTTTTTCTTGAAAATCCCGCGCATCAGTTTATGCTTTCGGATTTCTGTACATACTTAAAAATAACATGTTTAGCCCTACCCCTCCCACAGAAAAAAAAAAAATCATCCAGGGCGCCCATTTGGAATGTATAGCAATACGGCGGAAATTATTCGATCGGAGATCAGCAGCCTGCAATTAGCCACTAATATTTGTAATTTTTTGGTATAATATACATTTGTCGTTTTTTACCCTTGTCGATTTTTACCGTATCGTTTTCACTTGACGAATTACATATATTTATAAACCAATATCAGATTCATCAGTCAATTGGTGTAGTGCACTGTAATAGTGTCTCTACACATTTGAATCAATAATAGCATGTACGCGTAAGTAAACATTTCGTCGGGACAAAAACGTTTTTTTCGTTAATTTGTTCGTGGTGTAGAATATAATTAAATTGGATTCCTAGACGATTGTTTTTCTCATGTCGAGTATTTTTTAAATAATTAATATTTTTTATATAAATCGGTAGGAATAAAAAAAAATTACAAAGCATATTTTATGGTTTTTTTTTTTTTTTTCTATAAGTGCACGCACGCTGCACGCATATTTAGCGGGTTTTTTTAAAGTCACGTTTCCTCTGCCTTTATAATTATTTGTACAAGTATAACGTGCCCCGTCACGTCCGTATCTGTACGACGACGGTTATCAGTGGCGTGTCCAGAAATGATCAACGGGTGGGTATAACATGATGTAGTAGTGTTGTACCTATATACAACAATCACGATTAACGGCATAATCGTCTGCTGATACACGCCTGACCCGACAATGAGAATTTAAAAGCTCGATCCCAATGGGCCATTTTTTTTTTTTTTTTCAAATCGAGCTTTTTCCCATGTAATTCGGCCAAAATCCATCGTTTCAAAATAAAATCTGTTGTTATTTTTGAACGTATAAGGGAGTATATAACTTCTGACGTCTTCGCCACTGGGCCGGTTATGATGAAATTGGAACGATATCGTTAATATCGTTATAAGTAGGTAGACAAACAATAACACGTAGGTAAGTATATTGTGGGCGGGTTTTCTTAGGTACTTATACAGTGTACACACTATTGTAACCAAGCGCTTTGAAAATACCGGCGTATCTATACCTGCTCTAATTAATTTTCATATTTAGTTTGTTGACACGACGTTTACCATTTTTGAATAATTTCCGATCGAGAATAATAATAACAGTATTACGTAGGTATCCACGTTTATATGTTACATTTTTTTTAAGAACAGACAGTGGGGCAGCTGGTGTTGGCAGGTGTATTGCAATTCCATATGTTATTACGTAGACACCTAAGTATCGGAAATATAGGTAAAGGAAGGGGCGTAGCTAGGATTTATCTACGGTGATGGCGGGGGGGATTAGATCTTTACGATAGGTCAGGGGTGGTCAAACGGTCGATCGCAGATGATTTAAATGTCGATCTACGTTTTGTTAGAATTTATTTTTATGTAATTAGTAGATAAATAACAATTGCTGATAATTTTTATCTTAATATTTTTTTTTTATTTTGCAATAAATGTATCAAGTAATACAACTCAACAGAGTTTATCCTGGCAATTGTATTTACAATAATGTTGTACTAATGTTGTTTTAATAATAGTGTGATGAAAAACATTATTTAATTATGCATTTTAGTTTAATTATTTTTTACGTACATGTTTATTATTAATACCTGTCAGGGAGTTTATCATTATACCTACATCTTCGTTTGGCAAAGTCGATCCGCGAATGAAAAATATACTCTTAGTAGATCTCTACCAAAATTAAATTTGGCCACCCCTGTAATAGGTTAATCGTGTGCATAAAGTCTAATATGATGTTAATACGTGTATACGGTGATGTATTGTAATCAGTCGACATTCGCGATTTCTACGTGCCTATAGGTGCCTATTACAATACGATTACGATTATGTCTAAAGGTATGGAGACCTCTATTATGGATTTTATAGCGTTGCTCGTTGGCAATTAAATATTTTAAAACAAGGAAGATTCTACATTGGATACGATTTGAATTATAATTAAAACATTTATTTTTTTTTTTTCTATCAAATTGTCCTCTATTTTCGGAAACAAAAATTACGGTGTTCACACATCACACGGCTGCATCCGAATCCGTTCCCGTAGCTAAAAACTGCCATCCGCAATTGGTTCCCGATAACGACTATCGGAAAAAGATGAAATGCAATCTAACAATAGCGTTATAATATTATTTAATATTGATGTCGTACACTGGCGGATTTGATTGGTCCTTAAGGTGGGAGGGGGGCAATATCTTTTGGTGCAAGAATTACACATTTAACTTGTGTGACCGTTGACCGCCCGATGTGATGGCGCAACCGTCCACAGAGGCCACGGTTATGATTTATGAACGCTCTGAACTTCCATACAGGTTTCCGAGCGAAATTGTTATTTATAGGTAGTTTGGTGTCTATGGGCGGGTGAGGGGCGAACGCCGCCGTGGTCCGTGCGCCCCCTCCAAACGCCGCGCCTAATATCGCGTGCATCGCGTACCCATAATATTAACACTATTTTTACCCGTACTGGTTTCGCACGTCACCTACCGCATTCAGCAATCCTTCGATATCCGCAGAGTGTTTACTGTGTACGTGGGTGTGGCGTTTTCGTTTGCGTGGATAATAATTGCTGACACCCGATTAGTAGTAATACAATGTCGCATATCGCGGGGGCGCGACTAGACCGCCGACTTTTGGGACCGTAAAATTATAGGCACATCACAGACCCGCGGGAGCAATGTCCCGCAACGCCCTCCTTCGCACGACACTTACGTTTGGCAACTATACCGCATTTACGCATTTGTCCGTGTGCGGGTGATCCGTATTTGTTCTGCTTATTAATTACGAAATACAAGGATAAAGTGTTTAGTCAACACTATCAGAAAAAAAAAAAAAAAAAAACCAAATCGATCGGTTACTTTCGGGGGGGTGCTAAAGACTTCCTAGCACCTCCCCACCCCCTGTTTGCGCCTATGTGAATTATTCACATTGATTGTGTATAGTAAATAATCAAAGGTAATGTGTATACAGTCCCGTAAGTCTGTATAGAATGATAAGGTAAATTGAAATTGCTTTTAAAACAATCTGAGAACTAATTATATTGTGTATACTAACCCTCCGCAACAACCCCGTAATCAATTCGAACACACCGGGTTATGTTTCGGTTAAACTACTTAGATGCTTCGTTATCACACGGGGTAAAAGTGCAATACGGATAAAAAAAATAATGATAGGTAGGTAGGTAGGTAGGTAGTACGTAGATGAACAAAAAAGGAAAAAAAATACTAAATCTGTCCGTCGGGCTTTCATTATTTGAACGTTGTTGTAAAAATATTAAATTACAGAACTTTAAACATTTTCATTGGTACCGCCCATGGTCGTATAGAGCCCGGTGCGTGGGCACCTCTTCCGCCCCCTACATGGCCCCTTATTAGGCATAGCTCTACTAATAAGTATTATGAAGTTTATTTTCACGTTTTCGTTCAGATGACCTTGTATTGCTCGAATAACATGATAATTATAACAATTTGAAAAAAAAAAACATATGGTAATCTATAAACATGATAATAATTGATAAGAAAAATGTAATATGATGTCATAATATTACACTCTTATCGTCATAATAATAAAACTCCTTGCTTAGGAAGTTAGAGACGACAAATATTTTTCGATTTTGAAAATTTGTAAGAATTGCAATATATGTTCCTCAGTTTGTAATATTTCATACTTCCGATTTAAGTACCTGTATATTATTGTGTGTGTTTCGTCATGTGTGTAACAAAATAATACAATGAGGCATCTGATTTTTACAAAGTAAATACGTATTTTAACTACCCTACGACTTGTACAATTTTCATTAATTACAATGTCTAATGCCAACGAAAATCAAGGACCAACACCGAGTAATGGTAATTATCTCTTAAGATTTGTATTTATTTTCAAATATTTTTACGTTCAAAAATCTAAAACAGATAGTAGAATGGCAGTGCCGGTTCCTAGTCGTCGCATGAGCCTTGCTGCTGATCTCATGTTGCACCTAGAGCGTAGGGCTGCCGAAGGTTCAGCCATGTTTCGCAGCAACGTTCACAATGTAGTCGAAGAGTTGCGCCCAATCATTACAGTGGCACGTCAACCTGATCCTGGATCCCCACAGCCGCTCGGTCCAGGTTCATCTGTGCGTTTAAGCTTACCACCATGGTTTGGTTTAAACACTAGCAATATTCAATCTCCCCTATCACCACCCAGTTTGTCAGAAACTACAGATCGAAACCCCATTGTTACAGGTAACATACATTTATAAAATACTTAGGTGTTTATAGTTTTCATGATGAGTATGGGTTTTTGCAGGAGAGGTTAGACCAGTTGCGACAACTCCAATTACACTCTATGTGCCTACTCAAAGGTTATCAACTGAACCAAATAATGATATATCAATAGATATGAGTTTGTCAAGTCCCGACTTAAATGTAGAACCATTGCCTCAGAGTTCTGGAGGGTCTTCACCTAATGAATCTAATAACAACAATGAAAATCGTAAGTATTTATGTTTAAACTGGAATAATTAAGTATGCATTATTTAATAATATTTTGTGGTTGTGGCAGTTATTTATTTATTTTAATAGAATAGACACCATACAGTTTTTTATTTCTATGATTAAACATTTGTACAGCGATTTCCATTACTGATTTACCCTTTGATTTTTCTACACCTCTAATAACGGTTTTGTTGGAAATTCTTGGTCTCATATAGCAGGAGCGACTAAATGGTCAATCACGGACAATTTCAATTTCAATCTTACTTAGTTAAAATTTATTTTTATACAATTAGATAAACCACAATTGCTGAGCATTTGTATGTTATTAACTCATTTGTTTATAAAGTAATATTGTCAACAGTTTTTATGGTGCCAATTTTATTTCTGGTTTATTTTAATTAGAATACTATATTAAAGTTTTAATAAAAGTAATGAAAAACATTAGATAACCACTATACATTTTAGTTTTATTATTTGTACTTGTATGTTTATTATTAATATATTGTAAGTTTGTTTTTGTTTTATGGAAGTCGATCCTCAAAGGAAAAAGATATATTCTTATATTCTTAGTCGATCTCTATCAAAAAAAATTTTATTATTTTTTATGGTTATAGTGTTATGTTCTTATGCAATGGTAGATTTGAATAATTTTTTCTTCAATAATTTGTCCTTGGGTATCAGTCAAATTTAGTCTACAGAGTTCTGGTGGAAATATGTTTGCATTGTACTTGGGTCGTTCTCACGGTACCTAACACATTTCATGGCCTGATTGAGCTCAGTGTCCACTTTTTAACAATGTAGCCACCTAGACCATATTGGGGCATACTATTCAACTACACTATAGACCAAGGCTAATGTTAACCGCTGTGCTTCTACTTCAAGTTTTGCCTGCTAACTTCATTATGATATTATTCTGAGTCCTCAGCTTATTTTTCACATCTTTTAACTGCTTTTATTAGTATTCAAAATATAATTTTATATAAAATTGTAAAATTCTATAAACTAAATTTTTAATAACAACATATTTTACTGAAAATTTTCTATTTTATTAATAATTAAGTATGTTATTATTTTTTTTAGAAAGTGACGACGATGTTCTTCGACATAACCCTGAAATCGCTCAATTGCTAAATTTCGCTCTTAAATACATTCCGTTTTTAATAATACTCCTATCAAAAGCTGTATTCGACCATATTCCAGGTAAATTAAACAACCTCTATGTTCAATTATTTGTGTAAGCTTGACTAAAAAAAATATTGCCTGAAGGTTCGATTAACGAACGTGCTTGTATGTATTTTGTGTTTACAGCTATTCTGCTCTTTCTGGTACTTTTTATCTCTTTTCGTTACTTCAACAATGTAGTGAAGCGTGAGGTGGCCAAACAATCACAACGCAGCATTGGATTTTTGCTGTTTGCTATTATTCATATGGTCATGTCAGTATCTATATTCTACTATTTCCACGGTGACATAAATTTACACTTTGGGTAATTACTATAATATACCATAATAATTAATTATCATATTAGATGCACTTATAGATGTGTATCATTTCTAATAAAATAGTTACATTATCATGTATTTGTTTTTAGGTTAATATTTCTTCCTCCGAAAACACAGACAACAATTAGCAATTTACTATGGTCAATAGCAGTTGATGATTACATTTTAAAGTTAATAACAATAATTTTTAAAATAATTGTTATCATGTTGCCAATACAAATTTTACCAATCATGAAACGAGTATGACTGTTCGCTTGGCTTTATTACTCTTAAAAGAAAATTACTTTTATTCGTAATTTTTCGTTTAGGGAAAAGTGTACTTATTTATTGAAGCTACATCTCAATTATATCGGTGTTGTGTGCCTATTCAATCGTGGTTGTATTACATGTTAGAATCATATCAGGGTCCGAAAAAAATTATCGGTGTATTTTTATCTGCCGCTTACATGGTGTCCAAAGGCACTGATTTAATGGGCTGTGTAAAACTATGGTGGACAGCTTCATACAAATTACTTCAAAATGTTGTAAGTTCATTATAACAATAATATTGTTTATTCAATAGGTGTACACATTTTTACAAATTATATAGTAGTACAATAGTATTACTATTATTTTATTACAATTAATACTAAAATAATAATAATAATACTAATAATTCTAGAGCCCTAAATTTAAATATTCTACAAGGTAGTACAAACAAATTAAGTTCAGCGGAAATATTATTGGCCCAAAACAGTCTATTGAAAAAATGTATTATTATTGTTTACTGGTATTATTGTTCTTTGTGTTTCTACATGGTATTATATAATTTTGACATAATTAATTTTGTTCTTTTAAAACTATAGTAACCTGTTTATGTTTTACATTTCATAATGCATTTTGCAAAAGATTGCTCAAATATTAATTATTTTTAGGCCTAAAATATCTTTTTATAAAAAAAAAAAATTAAAAATATAATCCCTAAATATGGTTATGATATTAGTATGTTTTTAATATTAGTTGCCTATTTAAATAGGCTTAAAATTACCATTACATTCCAACCTAGCAGTCTCAGGTTTAAATTCCGAACACAATATAGGTTTCCTTATTTTCTGGCTGTCCCACATGGCTTTGCTCCTCATGCACAGTATAGAATGAAAATAATTTTTGGAAATAAGTTTACTTTTACCTAAAGTTTTTGTGTTACCTTGTTGGAACAGGGTTAAGTTTTCACTATTTAAAATTATTCATAAATGATGTGTAGGATATTTAAAAACTTTGGTTGCTATTTGAAAATCAATAGGTGATATGTGTTTATTGTATTGTAATGTAAATAAAGTCTTCCATGGGTTTTATAATGTCTGAAAAAGACTGGAACCAAATTTACTTAACATCTCCGTAGATCCCTGGTACAAGGTAAACTCTATATATCTACAGGCAACATCATGCACATTCAATATTATACATAAGTACCTACTATAATTAATTACTAATATTTATAATCAATGGATCTATCTTTATATATAAAATAACATGGACTGACTGACTAAAGTCAAACTGGCTAAAGTCATGAGTATTGAATTTGATCTGTAGTTAATGATGTTTAAATAATGTTTAAACTATTGCATTCTGTATTTTTGAAGATTTAAAACTATTATTGTAAGTTTTTATTAAATATTTAATTCAATTTTCAGGCACTAGGAACTGTACCCAGTAAAGAACAGCTGTCAGTTGCTGGCAATAATTGTCCAATATGTCATGACGAATATGCTACACCTGTGTTATTGCAGTGCCACCATATATTCTGTGAAGCATGTGTAGCAAAGTGGTTCGATCGCGAACAAACATGTCCTCTGTGTCGGGCAAAACTCGTTGATGACCCAGCATGGCGAGATGGCTCTACGACTAATTTTATACAACTTTTTTAATATTGTTTGTGATGATCTTAAAAATATATATACTTTAACCTCTTGTTAACATTGTTTCATAAAATTTGGTTCTTTTTATTTCTAATTTTTTTTTTTTATATATGTATATATTATATTTTTCAGAACCAGTCTATTCTTTCTAGAAAATATTATGTAGTTATTAATATTTTGTACTTTGTTTTATAATTAACACGTATAAAAATATTTGTCTGTGATAGATGTCCATTATGATTATAAGACGTAAAAGTGTATTTGTTAAGCCTTATGAATGCCACAATTTTAAATTTGTGTTAATTTTATAGATTAGTTACTACTATCAATGCGCTTAGAAGTTTAAACTAAATTGAAAAAATGTAACTGTATTATGATAAATTGTTTGTTTTTGTGGTATGAGCTTGCTATAAAACGATTATATTAGTGTTAACCAACAACATAACTATATTATAGAGTTTATGTTTGTTTAATATTGTATTTTTTTATTTAATAAGATTATTGTGCTATTTGTTGTTGATGATTATTAATAAGAAACCAGATAAATATGAGTTATTAATAATGCATATGTTATTTTTTTTTTTTAGTATAAATAAGAATATATTTCAATAAAATTAAACTTCAGTGAAAAACTGCTGAGGATTAAAAAAAAAGATGTAGGATAATGGAGACTGGTGCAGCCACTGTTATAGGTAATTTAATGTATATCTGTAAGCATGATAAACCATTGTTAATGAAAAAACGATTCTGAGCGTGGTTCAGTTGATAGTGATGTTTTTTCAATAATATATATGTCATGTTATGGTAAAATAATTAAATAGGCACTATATATTTTCTTTAATAATATTTGTTTAATATTGTATAGATTTTCCAGTTTTTCCCATGTTTTTTCATAGATTATCATATTTGCTAAGAAAACTCTTGGAAAAATCGAAAAATGACCTCTTTGAAGTACCTTCCCAGTCAGATTTACTTTTATAAAAAGTGCTATCATTGTAAATCTGAGCAAAATTGCTGGTAGAACAGTTTACACAGAAAGAGAAGGTAATAATATTTTTTTACTAATACCTACATTTCGTACATTTTCCGTTTTGTCAACATATTATCCCGGTTTTTCCCAGTTATTATGAAAACTGGTGAAAAATCACAAAAAGGCCTCCCTAAACCACGGAGATAGAATTTCCTTTCAGGAAATAAGCTATACTTGACACATGGGAGCAAGATTTCTGGTAGAAAAGTTTGCAGAACAAATCGAGGAGAATTTTTCGATTAAAATCGTTCGAGTGAGGGATAGCTCTCTAGGTCACTAGGATACACTTAAAATGCATTTGTTTTTCTTATTTAGGTAAAAGAGGAAAAAAATTACTTTTCAAAACCCGGTTTTGAAACCTGCCACCCCTAGTATGACAATACGTATCATGACCATTCGACTACAACAAACGTATGGTAAAAATAGACAATACAGAGTTATTTAACATAACGTGCAATATCTAGGGTTGCCAGACGTCCCGTATGATACGGGAACGTCCTTTTTTTTGTCTAAGTGTCCCGTTGTCCCGGCAACTCTTGTCGGGACACTGAAATGTCCCGTTTGCTAAAATATGTACCCATATTATATATTGGATTCTTTTTTCGTTTTGAGATAACAATTACCTACTTGTTATTCATTATCATTACCCGTCGGCCACATAGATAATAGAAGATTATAATGTAACCGTATGACCTTACCGACCGATACCATAGACCTATAAAGGTCTCTGATAGGTCTATGACCGATACCGATTTCGTTTCTATTAATAGATTGTTATAATTTTATATTGTGTTTACCATTTCGCATATTATTATAACATAGATTAGTCGATAAGAAAATTATTATTATTCTTATCTGTTCTATCATAATTCATAGTCTGGTCAGACCACAGTAATATACATTGGTCTATNTTTTATAACATAATAATATGATAGTTAAGTTTTAATTTTTAAAATGCCCAAAAGAAAGTGCACATTTAATGAAAAGTTACAAAGTGAATACACATTCTTAAAAAAATGTCAAAACACCAGGACAAGAATACAAAATTGAATGTATTGTGTGTGGAGCAGCATTCAGCATTGAACATGGAGGTAAGTCGGATATTACGCAACATTTAAAATCGGAACGACATAATATAGCTGCTAGAGCGTCTAAATCTCAAAAATTGTCAAATTTTTTTCTCCAAAAACACAATTTGCTGATAAAGAACAAAAATTAGCTGCAGATGAAGGAATTTTTGCTTATCATACTTGTAAACACAGTCAAAGTCTCAATTCTATGGATTGTACTTCTCAGTTAGTTCGTAAATTATATGAGAAAAAATTTACTTGTGGTAGAACTAAAACAAAATCTATCATCACTAATGTATTTTTACCCTATGCTGTTAATGTTTTAAAAAAAGATTTACTCAAGTGCAATTTTGTATCAATTATGACTGATGCATCTAATCATAATTCTCAAAAAATGATACCCATTCTTGTTCGCTATTTTCTACCTGACGAAGGAGTTAAAAATAATATTTTGGAATTCAATGAGCTTCCGGTAGAAACTGCATCACTATTAACGCAATATATATCATCAATACTTCACGAATGGAAAGTCGAAAATAAAGTTATTGCTTTTTCTGCAGATAACACTAATTGTAACTTTGGTGGTGTAGCTCGAAATGGAAAAAATAATGTATTTTATAAACTTAAAGAGATTTTTAATAAAGATTTAATTGGAGTAGGCTGTGCTGCACATATACTTAACAATGCAGTACAATCAGCCGCAGACACATTACCAATTGATGTACAGGTTATAATTGGAAAAATTTTTCAACATTTTTATATTTATACAGTTCGAGTCCACGTTCTAAAAGAATTTTGTGAATTTGTTAACATTGAATATAAAACCGTTTTAGGACATTCTAAAATTTTTTATTATCTATTGATATAGAAGTATACGGAAAACTGATATAATTTTTAAAAAATATTAGATAGTTGAAAGAAGTAAAAATATTAAGTAAAGATTGTCCTATAGTTTAATTCATGATACTTTCATTAAAAAATGTCTAGCGGCGTCGTTGTGATACAGTGAAACCTCTTAATACCCGACATTATCGGTCGCCAAAATTTCGTCCGTTATATGGAGGTGTCCGTTAAGGGAGATTTCACTGTATTTTAAATAGACATTTTTTTAGTCCCGTATTTTGAATTTTAAAATCTGGTAACCCTAGTAATATCTGACCTTCAAAAAGCTATAATTTCGATACTTAGTCAGTTCGCTCAATTCTGACTTTCCAGTCTACCATCCTAAAATCAGCAAACACACATATGTTAGGAAAAAAAAATTGAAATAGAATAGATTTGTTCCACATAATTTTTCATTCAAACAATTTTCGTCGAAATTTAGTATCTAAATTCCTTTATAAAAATAAATTCTACATTAAACTAATTTTTTTCTTTTTTACCATAAAGTAAGATTTAATGAACTACCTATTAAATTTTCAAGCATTTCTGTTAGGTCTAATAATTTTATTACAGAGTACCTATTGAATAAAAATTACATACAAAACTAGCAAAATTAAAATGTCTATAAATAGTTCAAAAATGGTTTAAATTTTATCACGTATAGAAAAGGCAAATATAAGTTTTTTGTCCAAATTTCAAGTCTCTACGAATATTTTTAACTGAATTACCACAAATAAAAAAATTGATAAAATAATCAAAGATTAATTTCGTATATTTCCCGTTTTTCTTACGTTTTATTTTGGTTTTGGTTTTTCCCAGATATTATGAAAACAGCTTGGAAAATCAAAAAAAAAGACCTCCTAGAAATACCATCTAGACAACATTTCGTTTTAGAAATGGTTCCGCGCGTATATATCTGAGCAAGATTTATAGTCGAATTTTCGTATACATGTTAAAAAAAATAAACATCTTAGTAAAACCAATACATTCTCCGCTACACTCAGAATTTATAATTAGTTATTGTTATTAATTATAATTTATTTGTTGTCTGGTAAAATACAATATATAGTTATATTAGGGCTTAAGGCTTTAAGCACTTAAAATCCACTAACAAGCATTTAAACACTTTTTGACGTATTTAAATGCTTGTTTACGTTTTTAGGTCCCGAACCTTTGTAATAATAATTAATATTAAATTATACATAATGTTAATACTTAATATTGCCAACTGCGGTTTAGGTCATGGCCTAGGCTGTTTGGCTAATTAATATATATTATCTATGTCATTGATTTACTTATAACATTATGTTTAAACCTTTTAGATAAATCTATTTTTAGTGGTCAAAAAAATGTCAAAAAAACAAAGTCAAAAAAATGACTGTTAAAAATGTATTATTGTTAAATCAGTGATTTGACATTGAAATTTCCAATGCATATCCACTTCTCCCTTGAAAAAAAATTATAATATGTACAATATTTTCTATTAATATCTAACCAAAAATCAATATACATCAGTATATCACATCATTTAAAGATTTGGAGCGGAGCGAAGGATCTATTGGTTTTACTGTGGTGTGTATATTTTTTATTTTTTTTTTTCGTGTGAGCAACTTTTCCGACAAAAAACTTTTTTTGATGCATCATAAATAGCATCTTTTCTGAAAAAAGTTTTCAGAATAATTGGGGAAAATGAAAAACAAAATTATAGGTAGAATATCAAATATTTTACGGTGTTACTGATTTCAATGTTTTTAATTTATGTAAACTAAGTTTTTTTTAGAACTATTAAATAATAAAATAATAAAGTAAAAACAAAGTTATTAAAATGGTTTATATTCGTAAATAAATATATAAATAAAAAATAATTAATTATTTTATTTATAAATTAATATTTAATATCAATACATTTTAGATAGTAATTAATAACCAAATAATTTATATTTTTAACATATCTACGTATGTCAAATAACTGCTCATTTTAAATAATTTCTCCTATTAAAATAAATTATTTTTATGTAAAACGACCAATTTGTATGATTTTTTTCTATATATTATGTATTTCTTCATTTAATTTTTTATATTAAGTCGCGTTTTACATTTTGACTGTGATATATCTGATGATAAATTTTTAATTCGAAACCGGTAGTACAAAACACTTATCATAATACTCCAGGCGATGCATTCATTCTTTTATTTATTATTTTTATTTTTATACATACATTTTTTTATTTTTATATTTATTTACTATATTTATAAATATTGCTTTGTTCAAAATATGCTAAGATCTCTTTTTTTTTGAATTTCTGATCTTATTGCTTAAGAAGTAAGATATTTTTTGATTTTCTCTGTAGTTTTTTTTAATTAATTGAGCAAAAACGAAAAAAAAAAACGTAGAAAGAATGGGAAAATTTACGAAACTAATGCTTTTATTATTTTCAATTTTGTTTTCTTGTTGTAATTCAATTAAACATATTTTTATGGAGTTTTGAAATTTTAACAGATCACTTATATTTGCCTTTTCTACGTGGTAAAATTTTTAAAACATTTTCTAGGTTTTTAAGGGCATTTTATGTTCGTACATTTTTTACGTAGTTTGAATTTATTAGGTACTTAGTGGATAAAATTGTTTGACCAAACAGAAATGCTTGAAAATTGAACAGGTGATTAATAAAATTATAAGTTGTACTTAGTGGTAAAAATACCCACTAATAGTATTCAATAAGTGGAACGTAACGACCATGTACAAAACAGTACAAACACCTGAAATAACGTGTT